GTAAGGCTGTTATGCAGTTTCTCATGCTTTTTAATTTTTTAATCTCTGCCACTTTTTTATCCCACATTTTAAACCTTTTTATTTTTATCTCTGATATTTAAAGGGGAGAGTTCTATAGCCTAGGATACACTTGCTAAAGTATAAAAAGAATATTAATTTATTTTAGATGTTCTAACTAAATCAGTGAAGTTTCTCAATGCTTCTTGCATTGAAAAAGTTTAAAATTAACACCTAAAAACTTTCTAAGAGTCATTATACGAATGTTTATCGCGTTAACTATATTATTATACGGTTTTGTTGTATTAACACGGATACGAGTTCATCGTTCCCATACGCCGTCACCGCGTGAGATCACGACCACTCCTTATACAGAGCTTATAAAATTTAAAGAGGTATAAGGATACAGCTAAACCTTAAAGTGCTTAAAATTAGCCGAGCGAGCGTATCTTTCTCTGTATTTTAAAACATTACGTTTATGTAATGTCTTACTTCCAAGTTCCAAGAAGCCTTATACGTGTATGTTCTCATGATGAGAACGAGGAAAGTGCAGTAGCTATTAAAAATTGCTCCAATATTTATTACTTTTTGGATGATTTTGGGTGGGTTGATGGGTTTATTTTACATGTGTGTAAAATATCAGAACAATACAATTCAATCATAGTTTCTGAAGAGGTCTGTTTTAATAACTATTAAGACTAGATTCTTACCTCTTCTACTAAAGCATTCCTCAAGAATAGTTAAAATAGCTTGAGAAGAATGAGCTATGGAATTTCATTTCATTTCCACGCTGTGTTTTTCGATCAACATGGAAATCATTGGGGGAGGAAATATTCAGTGGACGTCCTATGGCTGAAATGATGATGATGATAACTTTTTTGAGTTCGAAATTAGCGCTGGTCGTTGTTTCCGAATACAAACCATAGATGACCTCAATGTCATTCGTAGAGCCATTTAATGCAAATTAATTTGAGTTGAAGAAGAATTGTACGGTCGTCTTCAAAGATCGTTGCAATTATAACAGGATGTGATGCAACGTTGGACAACAGGAAATTGCCAAATCGGATGACAGCTGTCAAATGTAGGTTACCTTACCTTTGCCGCGTAATAAGTTGTCATACGTCTTTCTGTCTTCTTCTAGAGTCTAACAAACAAGATTAACTAGCTGTTATCCAAGTAGCGTTACTGGTTTTATTTGCGGTTAATTATATTTGTACTTTGTACTCTTTATTCATTTGAGAACGTATTTACTTTAAAATGTTAATCAGTGTCCGTTATTTTAATTAAGTATCTAAAATTTTTTCATATCTATATTTTGTTCACGTCTTTATATTGGAATGCATTTACATTAATTAAGTTGGTCGAAAGTAGATATTAAGTAAATTATAAAGAGTATAAAAAGCTTTAAAAGATACCCCTTGTTCTTCTCAATTTTAAATGAATGTTAAACTTAATGTAAAGACGATCTTAATTAACTCTGAATCGGTGACACTTTTACAAAGGGTTTTTTTTAGATGGTCCTTAGTCTTTCTTCTCCTTAAGTTTGGCACAGTCTTTATGGGACACCCTGTATTTATAGTTATAATTCCAAGAGCTATATTGGTGCTATGTAGAGCATTAAACTTCATTACAGTGCCTGAAGTTCGCTAGATTCCATTCACGTTTTTGAGACAGATACCTCCTATTTCAACTGACCATTTGACCTCTGTCTACCCAGTCTACTAGGTTTCCGTTCCGACACAATTGTCTGGCTTTCTATTTGGGTCTGGCGTAATTGTTTGTTTTATTTCAAGGCAATTCTGTAGAATGGAGAACAAATGAGGGGAGGTTGGAGTGGGCTTTTCCTTCACTTTGTATCATTAGTTAACTATTGGTCATGTAATGTTGTAATTTTGACAAGCTATATTCGCATTTTGTCATAAATTAATTTCTGCAATTATGATTATAAATCCGGCATCGATTCGTGGGCGAATCGTTGCATCACTCTTCTTACGTAATTCAGAAAATTATCGAATATAGTAGTACTTATTTAAAGCAATATTGGACAATCCGGTAACTGTTCATTATGGCATTGGTCTACAATTTGTAGGTCAGGGTCAGCTTCGCGACGCTTTTGTAAAGATCGATATAGATCGGCTAACAACTGATAAAATTGGACGTTCTTTACCAATTCATTTAAAGAAACTCAAGTCACTTTCTGCTGATCAAGAAATTTTAAGATTGTTAGAGTTAAGCCTAAAGATATATACCTAGATACCTAATAGATGTTGTGGTATAAAATGAAAGCGCACATTTAACCAATAATATTCATAAATGATGTGAAGCAACCACAGTTTCTTTCTAATGTTACGTTCACATGAAAGTACAAATCCCAGACACCATGTGAGCAGTTTCACTCAGCAATTACTGGACAGTTTGAAACTGTGAAACGCAGTCTGGGCCGTTGACATTAGTAATCATGCAAGACATGACGTTACTACCTTCTTCTTACCATTTATGTATTAGAAATCTGAAGCTGCTAAAGGCTGTAGGTACCAGACGTAGAAGTAAGGAGGTTTCGATTCTTATTTTTTTTTTCTTGTCGGCCGTTTGGTGTAGTGGTTCAGAACGGACTACTATGCCGAGAGGTCCCGGGTTCGATTCCCGATCGGGCAGAAATTGAAATGATGAATTTTAATTTCTGTGACGGGTCTGGGTGTGACTATGTATAATATTTATGTATTTAAAAAAAAAGAAGTATATAAGTAGTATATCCGTTAAGCTAGCACCCATAACACAAGCATTAAGTGGCTTACTTTGGGGCTAGCTGGCGCTGTGTGAAAATTGTCCAAAGATTATTTATTTATTTAATTTTAAGTTTCTCTGTCTCTTGTGTGTCTGGGATAATGTCCATTGTTCATCCGTCTATCACTTTGAATTTTTCGCAAAGAGCTAAGGTACTGTTATGTCCGTTATAATAAACAATTAAAAAATGTAAAAGTAGGTAGGTAATCGTGTAGTCCTCGAGAGACTCGTACTTGTCCGGTTCTTTTCGTTCTAAAAATGTTATATTCCCATCAAAAGAGAATGTTCCCTAATTAATTATGTACCGCTCGCTGTGTGATACGAATGGTGCTGCTATGTCCAACATGTTAACATGCCCCCTTTTTAGCTGTCAACGCAGGAACATACGTGTCTAATATTTGCAATGCAAAATACCCTTCAGTACAGAGCTAAGCGTTCTCTCATCATAGGTATGTAAATCCTCGCTCTTTTTATTCTGTCTACATGAATACATCGTTAGCATCGAGTCGCGACTCCAGAAAAGGGAATCCATTGAATCGATTCAAAAGATTCGAGATCAATACTTGTCTTCTCGCTCCTTTATGGTAAAACTTGCAATTGAACGTTGACTTGTACAAGGAGCCATTTTGGGACCAGTTTTTAATATGCACCCTTCGGATATTCTACAAATAGTATAAATAGACAAATGTATCTGTTTGTATGTAAGTATAGGTTTTGTATGTATATTTTATTAAATTCTCACAGATATACAGCATTTTTTTGCAGCTAAGATTAGATCAAGGGAAAATTCCAAAATTTACTCCCATGTGTTATAAAAGGTTTTGAAGATAATCCATAATTTATCCATGCATCTATTAACGAGGATATAACCGTGCATTATACATACAAAATTTTAATCCCACGCATCGTAATATTCATAATATAACATACTCATTACACCTGCATAGCTGTAGTCTTTAGTGATATTAATAGACCTAGCTGGCTGTCTTGGGCAATAATAGATAACTAAATTAGTTCAATGATGCGAATCTATATTAATAGATTTAGAGCAGTCACGCTCGATGTCTTGATTGACTGTCAATTCAACGTTAACGGCTTTATAAATTCCTTTTATATTGCAACTGACACTTTGTTCCAATTACTAGCTTTATTTTCATTCTTGCTTAGAAATTGTCGGAGTTTTCTTTTATGCTCGATGAAGTATGCGCGTGAGCATGTTATTATTTTTTGTCTCATGACGGTCGCTTTTATGATTATCCTATTAATTGTGTTTGGCGGAGGATAGCGGTGAATCAGACCGCACAGTTCTGGTTTGTACCGTTACATCTTAATTCTTTGACATGAATCAAGTTACATTTTATGTATCTAGTATGTTTTTATGGGTAGCCGCTGCTTTACCTGTAAGTTGATCAGGGTAGTGTAGGTAGACCTCTGAACTAAGTAGTAATTTTTAACCTTCTTCTTTAACCTTGCCGTATTGTCGTCGAACATAGACTGGAAAAGTAACGTATAGAAACCAAATTGCAAATTGTTCAGTGCATGCAAAATTGTCGAAGAAAGTAATACACACCACTATCTTGACTACTATCTTATCTAAGATAATTACATGACTTATTTGCTTGTTAAACATGACAGCACCGTAATCAGTCTAAACAGCCAAAGAAATGCTTGTTTGATAACTAAAAATGTTATTATATCTTTTTTGCGAATGTAGTTTTTTATCTATACTTATAAGTATACGTCATTTGCCACAACCAGTAGGCTAAGTTGAAACTCGATCGTTAATATCAACCCATTATCCCAATTCACTAGTTCTTTAAGTATCAAATAAACCAGACAAGTAACAGTAAGTGAGACCATTATCATCTGAGTCACTTTAAACCTTACTTAAGCTTAAGTACTTAAGTTACAGACATTTCTCTGTCTCCATTATACCAGATTTGCGGTCACCTTTTTGTATGATGGGGACCGTTTATCTCTTGGCTCCATATAATTGTATGAATTGTGTGGCAAAAAGTTAATAGCGGTATTAACTATAATTGCAGGATCAGTGCAAGATGCCTTATTTTTTCTAGATATACTGAGATTTTGTTTTTTAAAACAAGTGCTCTTTTAAGTTGCAAGTTTAAGTGTTTCTTATCCTGATGTTAAGGTGTAGCAAAATACATACTTGATTTTAAACTTTGTTGAAAGTTGTTTATAAATCGTTAAAGACTAACGCTATGAATTTGTGGGCAAATAAAGCTATAGTTGATCAACTTAACACTATTTACTAAAACGCATTACCTAATTCTCAATTCGTTCAATTGTGTCTCCGTAATTAAATTATTAATCATTTGAACAATCTACATCTTGATCTCAATGCACAATTCAAACTTTCAACTTAAAACAATGACAGCGCTAAAATTAAGACAGTAAAAAGTGAAATTTATAAATGACGCAACCAATCGCACAAATGACTCGAGCGCATCCAGCTTCAGTTAGATAACCATTATTTCCTGTGCTAGGTTTTCCACGGTTTCTGTAGTAATTGATAATCATCTTGGGCCTGTCAATAGCATCCCACACGATGTTCCAAACGAAGAAACGCCGATGAACTTTAACAATAGACTGATGCACTATAAGAGTGATATAATAGTGTTATAGTGACTTTAACGAGCTACAAGGGAGACGCTTTTCAAAATGAGCCTCTCTGTGACTACGACTACGAACAATAATGATGAACTTGGTAAGTGTTTTATTATTGGCAACGTTAATTCGAAATTAATTAGTTTTAACTGTTTATTAATCTTTAAATAAGTCAATCAATCTTGCTTATGCTGCATTCAATAGAGGTTTGTTTACTGTATTGGCATAGATGCTTTTAATTTCTTTTATCACATGTTGATCTACCAAAATACTACCTTTATCAGCCAGATAATTAAATATTAATGTTTAACAAAACAGTCTAAGTATAAAACAACATCTATCGCTTTAATCATTACAGTATTTATAGATATCATTGGTCTGGTCTCGCCCACACGTCCAAAGTCTGTGTCTACAATGTAGGTGCAAAATTCCCAGTGGTTCTGAAACATGTCTGTACTTGACCTGAGTATCCTGTTCGCCCACGCTCGCCCACACTTGTCAGCAGCATGCGGTTTTCTCCTTCTAGTGATAATTACGCAATTTGTAGCCATATAGCGGCTATTGATAGAGCTACTGTAGCACCAAAAAGGTTTTGGTACAATAGTCGAGTCTTTGGTTGACATCATCATTTCACGTGAAATATTACATGCTTACAGACAGACAGCCTTCCATAGTACAAGGTTATGTTGTATAACAGATGTTCTCTGAAGGTTATACTTATTTAGGTAACAAAACATCTTTCGAGCAGTGTCAACAAAGGGCGTTTACAATAGATGACGTATTCAACATAACCGGTTAAAGCGTTTGTCTAAAAATTCCAAGCCGCCCACGGACAAATCCAATCACTTCACTAATTAATACATCGCCTTAACAAGAAACAAATAGTCTTAGCTTCGTCATACAATCTTTGTCGGCAAACAAAGCTGCCGCTCTAAAATTAAGTCCTTAGTAGGTCAGCGGTTTTTACTCTGGCCTCAGTTCACCCGCTGCATGTCTGCAACTCTTGCGCAAGCAGACAGATGTGCCAATTTTCATAAATCCTTCAGACGCAAAAGAATCGACTGCACGGTTTTTTGTTTCAACTTTTTGTTCCTTTCTTGAATTGTATGAAAAATTGAATGAATTTACTGCAATATTTCCATAATTTATGGTGGATAAAAAGATAGTTGAAGATAAACTAATGGGGATAGATGGAATAATTTATTAAAGAAAAAACGTACCTAATCGCCAAAACCAGATCAAATCCGCCAAGGAAATGCTTAAAGATAAGCATAGGAAAATTAAAAAGTGAAAGTTCGATTCAGGAAGTAAAAATGCAAAGATATAGCCATACAGAGACTGATTTAGAACTGTTGCGTCAATCATTAAAGTATAATTTTAAACACTGTCTGTCTTCATAAAAGCTTTATTTTTTCTTAGATCATCGCCGAAAAGATTCTTATGCAACTCTAATACTTCTAATTGCATTAAGCGTATATTACCTTGCAAATTCATTCAGTAATGTTCTGTCGGTTATATAATTATGATTACTATCTTGTCTTAAGTCTGTATATCAAGTCAAGTCACGTCAGCCGACGTATAATCTTTATGAAGTACCGTTAAAATTATATTTCAATTCAAATTTAAAAGGCAGGCGATTCTTGAACGAAACGGTATAGTAATTAAAATGTAGAATTTACGATAGTTTGACACGATAAGAGATTTCAATAAATTGTGCAGCTTGATGTTGCAAATCTGAAGACGAATCTAATAACATTGATGAAGCATAAAATCAATGAAGATGAACTAAATCATACTAAAGCTATTGAATAAAACCTAACGATAATAAATTATTCATTCAACTCTAATAACTTATTTATTAGCGCTCAACATTACTTTTCTCACAATTATCGATCGTAACGTTCTGACTAAACCTATAATTTATATCTGAAGCAATTATACTATCATATTGTAAGGTCAAACCGTTTTGCTACACCATATTGGTGGCTATACTATGAATATGTTGATCGATTCATAAAAGGCCGAGGCTACGTCGTCTCTTGATAACCTTCAGTATCAAGTGACTGAATACTGGCTCTTTTTATCCTATTTGCTTGTAAGCCATTTTAAAGTACTCTGTTCTATATCGTTATTTATTGAATCTTCTTACATTTCTTTCTATCCATTGAAGACGATTCTTATGCATCAACCTGACTCTCAAATATTTAATAAAATATTATAAATCATTCAGAATGTTCTTTAATTCAAAAGACACTATTCCAATAAGGTAGCACACGTCCCAAACTCCCAAATATAGCTCTGACTTCGGAACAACATATCAGTTGTCCATGAAATGGTTTGGCAGCTTCATAACTTAATTTTTTGCTTCAAGATTATGCTCGGTTCCTCTGCAAAAACGTTTACTGCAATGATGATGCAGTTAATTTGCTTGTATTATAATAATGGTTATTATTCAAAGCTACTGTATCTGCTACAAAGATCTAGAACCTAAATACATACGTATCGGGGTCACCTTGTGCAAATACATCAGCCAGCATCTACCTACATTGTATATGCATTGGTGCGAGGATTGTCGACTACATTAATGGATAGTTATTGATACGAGGTAATGTTGGTAGTGTGTTCAATGTTACATTTAAGATCTTGTCAACTTTAATATGTCTTTCCTTGCCTGTCACCTTTCTTTTTGTCATTATGACTATCCATGCTCCGTCAAATCTTTTGAAGATGATGGAAGCTTTTCTAGATTTGTTTCTGTTACGAGCAACTGCATCGAAAACGCAAATTATCTTTCCAAATGGTTTAAGAATTTCGTAATTTTATTTCTTTGATTTTATTCCAGACAACCCTAAATCAGAAACAACCTTGTGCAGTTGCACAAACATTGCTCTATTGAAGCAAGTGCCATTTTCCTCTGACCCCTTTACATTCGTCGGATAACGTTAACAGTGTAACCAGTATAACGTTAGCTTTCCGTCAATCACTGCTAATTTACGAAAATGTACTTTATCTTCATTAACGTAAGTATTAGTGTCTCCAATATTCAAAAGAGCTAAGTTGAATACGCATCATTGTAAATCATGATCTTTAGCATGTGAATAGAGTTCCTTTTTGACTGGTCTAAGTCTAGCTAAGTAATCATTGGTGCAAATAGTCATGCAATTTTGACCTTGCCGCACTCTTGCGCATGATGAAGCTGACAGTTCCGTAAAGTATGGCGACTGCGTCCCGCCTTGCAGGTATCGTATCATAGATAATCCAGTGATTTGTGTCTTCTTTGTGATAACGATTTATGGTTTCCACTTCGAGATCTATTTCATGGTGATTCTTGTGGTTTAGTGGGAAGTGAGCCAGATCTTATTTATGTGATTCAACTAAAGAAGAAGTGTTTCATCTAGCCCTTTTTTTTATTTATTAAACTGTCATGTTTCGTTATAATATCCTCAGTGTTATCAATTGAATTACGCTCTCGTGACGTAATGTAGCAATTACTAAGTCTTACGATAGGATTAGTAATATCACGTAATCTCTGGTACAATTTCGCAATTTTCATAGGCAATAGAAACCTTATTTGTAATTAGTAGGTGTGCAAGTTTTAATTATATCGTCACGGATATCTTCAAAGCAAACGAAACAATTGTTTCATAATAGACTCCGCCTAGATCGCTTAATTACTTTTATAATTGGAAATGAAAGCCTAATAGAGTCTTCAAGAATTTGAAATTTAATGTCCAGATAGATTTAGTATCATTTCAAACGCGATATCTTTTCGTGTGCGATTATTTGGATGACCAAACATGAGTCTCGAAAGTTTTTGTGATGTCCAATTAAATAGTTAAACGATAATTTTCTAAAATTAACAAATAAAATAATGTCTTTATTGTCTGTCAGTATCAGTATCAGCTACGATAGAACAAAATTGACGGATAAGTAAACAATTTCTCCAGCTGATCAATAAACAATATGAGCCGTGTTGACATGCGCGGGCGCATCTTAATCGCCGACTTAACGATTTGTTTGCTTTCACCCGTCCTCGGAACCGAACCCGGACCCGTCTCATGTTGTAACGACCTGTTATGGACACGGGCATGTTCACGTTCGAAAGCAAAAGAAGACACTTTTCCACCATATCAAAAAGTAGAAAACATGATGGCGCACAAAGAAAGTAAGAATGCACTTAAAAAGGTAGTGCATTGTGTACGTACATGATTTGAATGGGTCATATCGTGGTCATATTTAGAAAGTCAAGGTATTTTTGAAGTATTCGAATCGAATTCAAATTTACATACGAATCTGCATCAATCGTATAAAAACTTTGCGATGTTTCGTGTATTGCGAATTTGCGATTGGTTTTAAAATTTAACACCTTGCATTTGTAAAATTGGAGTCTTATTTATATCATTTGTATGATTTGTAGCTCTAGAAAATTCCTTTTGGGTTTTTTCTGCTAAAAAATCCGTGCGATGTTTCGTGTATTGCGAATTTGCGATTGGTTTTAAAATTTAACACCTTGCATTTGTAAAATTGGAGTCTTATTTATATCATTTGTATGATTTGTAGCTCTAGAAAATTCCTTTAGGGTTTTTTCTGCTAAAAAATCCGGTAAATCGTTTGATGCATTTCACAGTTGCTCGCTCTTCCTATCAATGGTTGAAAAGTCTGCCGAACTTTGGAGCTTGCAAAAACAGAATTGCATTTTTTCGTACTTCCTTCGTCACGTTTGTCTGTCATGTATTATCATGACCGTTATGTATTGGCCACCCGAAATTGCATTTCTGTATTGTTACCAAGTTTTTTAAAATTTTGATGGAAAATCACAAAAATAGGAATTTTAGACTATCCTGATACGGAACGTTTACTTTAGATTTACTTTTGCACATGTCGAATACTGAGTTCTAGTTATAAAGCGTATCATGGTTTCCATGAAGAATTCTCTTCCTGTATCGCTTGACTCTCGATCTATGCAGGTTTCATTCCATGCACTTCACAAAAAACCTAATAGGTATTCAACCGTTCATGTGCCATTCGTAACGCGGTCTCGTACTTTATTTTTTAAAAATGTTTTCCCGCTTTGCACTAGAGGGAGGTCGAACCTTAACTTCGGACTCCTCCTATGTTCTTTTGATTAATTTCGTTGCGAGTTCAATGGCAGTTTAACTTTCCTTCGGGACAAACTTGGCCTTCCCTGGTTGGGTCAAGCTGTAGATCAAGAGTAAGTAAGAATAAGAGGTGGGAATAGTCCCCTAGACCTGGCAACAATATCCACGGCTGTAATCAGATCAGATGCACTAGCGACCCCTGCAGTAGGAAACGGCAGTAGGTCGATTGTTTGCAAATTGTGTTCCTCTCAGTTGGCGGAACTAAATCGTTGTCTCTCAATCAATTCGTCATCTGAGTCACCGTCATCGTCATCGGTATCTTCCGGGGGAAGGAGGGGTCTAATGATTTGAGAAAGTTCGAATTTGGAACGAGCTTGTATTGTTTCCATGTTGTTAAAATTCGAATGTGAGTTGATGCTCAATTGTTAACGTGATGACGATTTTATAGTCTTCTGCTAATTAAATAATCGTTTTTTTTGTTTTATGGGCTACACTGCAGTGGTATTTTTAGTTCAGAGAGTTTTAACTTTTGAAACTAGGAAACTAGGAAAGATTTGTTTGTTCTTTTGTTTGTACTCGTATTGAATAGGCTCTGAAATACCTGAACCGATTTGAAAAATTCTTTCACCATTAGAATCCTACATTATTTCTGATGAACTTATTATAACATTATTTTAGACGGTACGAAGTTCGCTGGGTTAGCTAGTATAAAATTTAACAATAAAAATAATTTTCATTGAAAACCATTACAATTAATACCATCCTGAAATCTAAAATAAACGTGATATCACGTACCTACATAATGTTACCGTGATCCTTGCAAGATGTCTCCAACAAGGAAGATCAAAGTGAGCGTGTGCACAACTGCGCGTGCGTCGCAAATTAGCGGTTTTACGAACAGCCAAGTTCATGGACCCAGTGACATTTAGGACGCTATTTCGGTGACGCAGCCCTATCCTATTGCGGGGTTCCGACTGGCTAGGGCTGTGCGTGTGAGAATTAATTTAAATTTATATACTAGCAACTACCGTAATACCAAGCGCAGAGCAAGAGGAGCTGAGCGGTCACATTATCTATTTGGCATATTCTTTTATCTTAGGTTGTAAGCATGTTTAAATTTAATTAAGTCATGTTTCTATTATCAAATTCTTTACTTTATTCTTTACTTTACGATACTTTATTTATAATTGACTAAGCATGATCTAACAGGATTACCTATATAGCTTTGTCATGGTTACATTTTAGAAAATATTCTTGTGAATTTTCTCGAAAGGATAAAACTAAACTGATACCTACTAATTTTCAAGAGCCACTTAATAGAAACGTTCATTTTTGATTTGATATAATCTAATTTTTCATTTATGTTTAGGCTTTTGCCAGCCCTACATTTGCTACAAGTGCGCAGATACCCCACTTTATGGACATACAGTACGAGCCTTCCCCGGTCGATGTCGGTTTTGTCCTTTTCGGTACGCCAGCCGATTTCCTGCATTGTCGGGAATGCGTGCCGTAAATCTCGCGGTTATATCTACAAAACAAGCAGAACTAACGGATTCAAAATGGCTAGTACTTACTCGTCTATACTCAAATAGATATGCCATACATAGCACGGTTTGTTCGAGCTCGTATTTTGGTCTGTTTAAACAGTGACGACAATTTCTACTACTGATGTTCATTTATTTATACAAGATGCAAAACAGATTATAATTGAGATTTCACAGATTGTGTATATAAATACATAAGACTTAGGCCGAGTTGCACCACCTAACTTTGACCGTAACTGTAACGATAACTGTTGTTTTTTGAATGGAGTTTGACAGACTTTTGACGTTTGTTAAAGTTAAAGTAAAATGGTGCAACCTTTAAGGGCTGAATTTTGTAATTTATATCATCAATAATTGATTTCTCTTCAAGCTTTTTATCAAAGAAAATCATGTTCTAAGTATATTCTAAACAAAAAACGTTGAGATCAATAAAATTTCAAATTGCATCATTAAATAAATACTCAATGCTAAAACTTAAGAGAAAAAGCGTATGAATAGCAGTTTCTGTCGCCATATGCTATTCAATGGATGAAGGTAATCCTAAAAAACTTCACTTTCCCACCCATAGAAACATTCATTTAATTTGCTCGACTTCGTGCTTTGCAATTACGTTGCTAATTAACTCCGCGGATTAACTTTTTTGTTGCCTGAAGCGTTTCAACAATACTATATTCTTTTGTGAAATGATGAGTTATTACATAGTCAAAGTTTTTATTTTGCAAACTAAACTATAAAATAATACCAACTATAATTTTATTAGTAATCTGTGGTACAACAAAGTTTGACTCCTTCTGGAACTCTAGACAAAGTGCAAATTATAATCGCAAACCAGTCGAAAAGTGGTCGAAAAGCCCCTTTTTTTGTATGGAGTTTTGACGGATTCGATTTTCGATTCGATCAAAAAGTGCGTTTTGTCTAGGGGGGCTGTTGTTTATTTGCGTTCCTATTTCGAAATTCAATCGATCACTTTAATCATAAATCCGTGCCCCGTCCTTTGAAACCGGCCAGTGCTTCCGATATATTCGCATAAAGCAAGCAGCCACTAATGCACTCGATATCTCGGACGGTAATCGATATCCGTTCAATTACACGATATTGCCATGTTGGAAATTGATCAGCTTTTCTTCCTTTGCTAGATAGATGTTAGGCAATACCTCAGTCATGATTCTGCCTTATCTAATTTCTTATTTGTTATCATTAGTAGCATTTTGTTCTTCATGATCGTTTCTCTTTTCCGTATTGGCAACGACTCCCATACTTTTATGGGTTTTGAATTGCACATAAAATTTCTTCAAAATAACCGGTTGCTTCATTACCGGCATCCAAAATTAGTTAGTTGTTAACCTGTTTAAACATAGCACTCTTTACACATTTCTTTTGGGCTCTGACATGTTTTTTGACTATTTTTAAACCAGTTGCACCACATTTATTTGAGAACCCTTCCCATTTAGTTTTAAATGATGGACTCGTCAGGTTTATGACATCCATATTTCTTGTAGTCACTCACATCTACTACGTTGTCGTAACTGTCTCATTTTTGAAGTCTTAAGCACCAAGCTGTGGATTAGTAGTTTATGTATTATAGTGGTACAATTTCCTTCATAAACACGAAGTCAGATGGCAAATATCAGAAAGGAAGACTATGAACAGTCCACAAAAAAACATGACTTCTACAGTTGATGATACAGAGCCTCCTTACATCAGACTATTGCATTTTGGTTGCAAAATAGCTTTTGTTACGACTGGATAGGATTCACCAGTGGTTAACTTGATGTCTGTCTTGCACTAAAACATAACCCATTTGCCGTTAAACAAGATTCCAAGAACACGACACTGATTGCTGCCATCAGCTACCATACACATAAGGCCTTCGCTGGCTCGATGATTTAAGTGCCCATAGAACACATACCATAAGAGTACCGTTAAAAATACGCTTGTTTACTTGCACTGATGCGCCTGCGATGCATGTAGGTCGTTCCTGCACTTGTCTATGTTAGTAGACTAATCTACGTACCGTAATATCAACAGTTGCCAGAACGCATTTAGATCTATTGTGTCAGTCGACGCTTACGTTATCAGTATGCTCTAGAAATTAGGCTGCCTAACTGGTTCTGACCTTAGTTTATAATGAAACTTTTTCACAAAAGAAGGTCGTTTATTGTATTCAGTAACTATTCAGTCGCCTTGTTATTGGCAAAAGAATCTATTGTGCAGCAACGGTAAACGTTCAAATTTCGGCAAGGCACTTCAAGTGCTTCGTATACGGCTTCGTGAATTAATTTTCGGATCCAATTTTCAATTCGCAATAGTAACGAGTTCATTTTCCATTGTGCAAAGTTATATGATCAACATTATCCAAATCTTCATCAGTTCTTTCAGATTTGTAACCTCAGCCTTAGGCCCATAGCTTCTAAGTCTATAAAACTTTGACTTAACCGCCCTTTTCTTTTGTCAACAGCTGTATCAGCAAGATGGTCAGCTCTTCGCGTAGCAGCCACACGGCGTGGTGGGGCCCGTCGTTTGAGGAGGGAGATCGCAGCCCTCCATGGCACTCTGGACGAGATATGCGAGCCTGGAGACTGCGCCCTGCAGCCCCACACCAAGGCACAGCTCAACAGGAGGATTGAGGAGCTAAAGGTATAAAGCAATTGAAATTAAATTTAAAAAACAAATCATTTTTTCTGGAAATAGGTACAAATAACGAAAATCCTACCAACACAGTGTGTGTGTTACCACCATTTTACCACTATTGTGTGCTTACAAAAGACTATTAACTAACAATCCTTTGTTAGGATAAGTGATAAGCATCACACACAATCACAATCGCATACAAAGGCAAAATTAGCTTTACTGGCCTACTTTTTCCAACATTGCGGCTACTTGATTATTTGGATACCTACTGATAGCAGTACGGATTGGTTGCTTTTTTATTCAAAAATATCAAGGCAGCTAACTGCAGTCTGCAGTCTGCACCTTAGCCACCAAAGAAACTAAGGGTGGAGAAGCGACTAAGGGAGAAAATTAAATGTGCTTACCAAATAGTCCCTAACCTGTTTGGCCAGCGTACCTAGGCCTAAGGTGTGAAGGCCAAACCTCTATTTCCTTCTTAAAAGCGAGTCTTGTTCCAGCAGTGGAGTTTAAAGGTAGCGCAGCAGCAGCAGACGACTTGTCGCTTACTAGTCTTACTACGAATGGCATTTCATAGAAATAACATAGAAACCAGTAGGTGTCGCTGCGAGTCGCAGCCTGCGACACGTCGTCTTCTGCTGCCTCATGTTGATGTCGTCCGCTTCCAACTTGTACCTTTAACCTTAAAATATGAGTCACTTTTAACATCAGGTCATGTTAAAAGTGACTCATATTTCAGTACCCAAACTAACACGCTATTTTTTTCGCAGGACCGGCTATCTCGCCTCCTAGAATGCAAGGTGTCGATGCTAAAGCTGACGGTGTCGGTGCGCCGAGCGCTGGGAGAAATGGAGAGCGACGACAGCGGGTTGGCTGGCGAGCTGTCCGGTCTACTGGCAGCGTGGGATGATGCTCATCAACGGTAAGATTTGTTCTGTAAAGGATAAAATGCCTTAGCGCTCTTTCAAACTAGTCGTTTTGAGCCGGACGATTGTCGTGCGTATGCAAATCCGTCCGCATACTTAGGCCCTTTTCACATGTCCCGGTTGCCGGCTATCCGGCGCCGGGTACCCGGTGGTGAAGTGTATGGGCATGCCGGATTAATTACGCCGGAACATGTGAAAGCTACGTACCATGCCCATACACTTCACCACCGGATACCCGGCGCCGGTTAGCCGGCAACCGGGACGTGTGAAAAGGACCTTACTGTTGTCAATTTTATCCCAACGCCATCATACAATTTTGCGTGTGCGGTCCAGTGGGCTGAGTGTGAGTTTACATCAACCGTCCTCACTAGTGAGCGCATTAAAAAATATGTGAAAATTTTAGTTCTTGAAAGTTTCCGCTAGTAGAGGCGCTGTACAATCCGTCATACATTTAATGGCTTTTTTACCGGCTTTTACCCGTGGTCCCCCCAACATGTCCCCCTGGTGGGTCCACGGGTAATTTTTTTTACCCGTTGTCCCACCGTTCTGAACAGTGTTTGCCAGTGGGTCTACGGGTAATTTATTTTAACCATGGTCCCACCGCACAAAGTGGCAAACATTGCACGTCACCTAGGTACCTATCTATTACGCGCACACTCCTTTGATGTAAACTCGCACTAAGCCTAGTCGCAGACCCCCGATTTTTAGTTGGCCGATAGTTGGGTCGGGCTGTTGATCAGTATGGTGATAAGTGCTCACACTAAGTACAACGATTTGGTATCGGCCGATTCTTCATGCTTAGAGTCGGACCCAACTATCGGCCAACTAAGTCGCGCTGCGCCGAGGCTAAGTAAGTATTTTAGATATCACCTGCATATCAATGCAAGATCAATCATAACACCCTGAAATATTTCTCCATTTTACATTTACAAATATTTTTTTCCTATTCCAGTACATCCAACGAGCTACTGTCCCTTGAAAAGGCAGTATGCGCGTGGGCTGAGTGGGAGAACGCCCTCCGCGACCTGCAAGGCGCCCTGAGGGGAGACCTGGCCACACTGGAGGCCTTGAGGGACAAGGGGGCCGAAGTTGGGGACCAGACCGAAGTGGCTGCTCAGATTAGGCAGCTGGCTGCTTCACTGGTGGATAAGAAAAAGGTAACTTTTAACTTTATTCTGAGATTAAGCCTGTTATTTTTTCAAAATTTATTTAGTGATTAGTTAGACTGCTTTTACAATTATAGGGCGTTTTTATAACGTGAAGGCAGCATTCACTGTCATATATGAAATTATCAGCAGCGCGTCTATCACGAATTCACGACTCGCACGTGTGTCGCGCTGCTATAGTCGCCTAAATGTGAAAGCGCTCTTTGAGAACATACTTTTTAAATTAAGTGCTATTTCAATGTTCAATGTTATAGAATGCGTTAAGTTAGGTATTCAAGTAAAGTCTAAACTTCTAAAATAATAAATTATGTTTTAACGTTATTAAAACAGTACTTATTATTATTCTGTGTTAAAACATAATTTATTTAAAACTTTAAATGAGGGCAGCGTTTACATTTCCTTAACGAAATTATTAGTAGTTAACTTGATTTATTATAAAATATTAATCCGTGTATTTGACATCTTAATCGTTTTTAAAGTTCTTAATTTTAATTTCAGTAACACGTTCATAATATTAAAGATACTTGCCGCAGCACCGGTATTAATTTCCTTTGGCTAATTAAAGCGATCGATTAAATACATCGATAATAATTTTAATTTTATAGCAATAAAGTTTCTATTTACACAGAGTGTTTTTAATAAGTTTGCAAAAACGTAATATCCGCTGAATAAAGAGTCTAATCCCGCTTTCTCATTTTAAAACCTGGCAACCCTAAACAGTTCCAATACCGTTACCGTTATCGCGCTATAAATTCCAGATACAATAACTAACGTTTTAATTTCCCTCCAGGGTGGTTCAACATGCGACTCCTTGTCCGACTCTGGCATCTCCGATGGCGATAGTGAGGGAGCCGGCGGGCGCGCGCGTCGCCTCAGCGCCTTGCGCGAGTTGGCACGCCGCTTGCAAGCCGCGTTGGCTCCCAACTCACCTGCACACAGGGCTATTGCTAAGGTAATTAACATTTAATTTAACGACTAGACGAATGCAAAATATTTAGAGCACTCTTTTAGTGTGGGAATACCACTAGTCTTTCTTTGTTCGTTTGTAGACATAACTTTTCTACATACAAAATGAATCATAATAATAAACCTCCAACTTGAAATTAACGTAGAAAATATATTTTTACAGCGTATGGAGCAAACTGAGAATGAAGTGCGTATACTGCAAGAATCTTGCAAGGCACTGGTTGAGCAGAGCATTCCTGACCTTAAGATTGAAGAAGAGTAAGTGTACATTTCTGAAATAGAATCACAAGTTGAATAGAAACGTTGTAATATGTTACTCATTGATATTTCTATTTCAGCAGAGATCACAGTATTAGCACGGTGGCTGGAAGCAAGACCGGCGCTGGTGACCCAGATTATAGCCCTCGAGGTGGCTGGGTATGGCGTGTGCTTCGCTCGTCGCTGCCCATTCAACTCTGCCTCGTCGCCTTACTACTGGCAGCTTGGCTCGTTGAGCGACCACGATGCTGTGATGCCCTAAACTCGCTCGCTCAAACCCTGACTCCTCAGCTCCGTTATGTTCGAGGACCCCCACCTGTCTGAACACTTAAAATGTGTTTCTTTGTGATCACTAGCTACATGACTAGCTATTCGCCTAACCTCGCTACTTAGAATTGATGCGAGGTTACTGGCAAGTTGCTTTAGCACTTCCAATGCTATGGTTGTGATATACATCGTTGTGATGAATGTCATCTTTTGACATCTTCGACTAACATTTATGGGTTTATTTGTACCCAAAAGTCGTGAAATGATGATTCCAGGCATATGAAAGTAGAAGAGAGGATTGTAGGTTTACAATGGTATACCAAGATGATTGCGTTAGGAAATATTTTTATTACTAACTATTGAAGAAGTGAATTGTTGTGGCTAAGTAGAAAGAACTATTCGATGAAATATCATTATTACTAACACGGTATAAACAAAATTTTATAAAAATGTATGAAGTGTGACATTTTAAGAATTTCGTGGTAGATAGATTCTAATACAGGACATATCGCACGTTCATAATCAAACTGTCACTATACAAAAAAGTCGATTTTTCAGGAAAAGCATTTGAAATGCTCAAATTTTAAAACCTTTGCAAAATGAGCAAAATGCTATTAAATGTTTTGTTTTTTGTTAAATACCAGTAGTGGCTTGTTTGGCTTTTACGGAAATATAATTATCTTTCAAATTATCATAATGGTTTATTTAATATTTAATTTTTTCCCTAAAAATAGTGTCACTTTTCCACTAAAATTGAGACAGTGACAGTTTTCAATTAAAAACATGTTAATGTTGTATTATTAATTCCGGTAGAAATGTCACTATTTTCATATAAATTTGACGATGAAAATTTCAAAATGATTATTATTAAATAAAACTAACATAGAAAAATCAGTAATTTTAATGAACTTAAAACTTAATAATTTGGATTAAGTGGTACCAATGGTAACAGTAATAAATGTAAATTCTCGATCAGAAATAAATACGTTACACACATGAAATTACTATAAAATTACATCACATAAATCAACTTCTTAGAAAATAAGGTACTCTCTTGTTCAGGCAGCCTTTAAACAACAAGAACTTGATGACCTCGATGAACTTGACGAACTAGATAGTGATTTTTGATTTTTCATGGGAAAAAGGCTCAGAGAAGTAGGTTTAAATTCTGGATCATTATCCAGCAGCCATTACCTCTGCGAGCTATGTGCCCCGCCCACTGCCACTTGATTTTAGCGATTCTGCGGGCTATGTCGGTCACTTTGGTTCTCCTGTGGATCTCCTCATTTCTGATTCAATCATGTAGGGAAACTAACTGAGCATCGCACGCTCCATCACCTTTTGGGTGACCTCTCAGATTCATAAAATATCACTGGCAACACACATGATCAAACTTTTGTCTTGAGGCACTGCGGTATTTCGGACGTGAGAATATCACGAAGCTTCCCGAACGCTGCCCAGCCGAGTTGGATTGACGAATGACCTCTTTCTCGAAGTTGGACCTACGTAACTGGACTGTTTGTCCCAGGTCAACAAACTTTCGAGTGTAGAGTCTCCAGACAAGTGGATACTACATGGACATTTGACATGTTTTTTGTCTTGTCCATATTCATTTTCATACTCATTTATCAGGTCCACTTGTTGAGAGGCTCTACTTAGGCCATCGAGCATTATGCCTAGATCTTCCACAGTCTCAGCCATGATTACGACATCGTCCGCAAATCGAAGGTGGATTATGTACTCGTTGATATTTATGCTGAATCCGCTCCAGTTCAGAAGCTTGAAAACATCTTCCAGGGCGGTGTTGAACAGTATCGGAGATATGACATCTCCCTGTCTCACCCCTTGCTGCAACTGGATGAGTTTCGAGTCCTGATCCTGGAGACGAACCGACATTGTGGCGTTTTCGTACAAGCCTGTCAACACTTCGATGTATCTATAGTCAATTTGGCACCGTTGGAGAGACTGTAGCACTGCTCAGATCTCGATCGAATCCAAGGCTTTTTCATAGTCCACAAACGCTAGACAAAGTAGTAATTACCTTGATAATTTCTTTGATTTTACTAGTGTTTGGATTGCCTGGTGGCATTTTTGTTAGATAAAATTATAACTACTTAATCATTTAAAAATCTTTCTTGTTGTTTTAATATTTCACTATTTGGATAAACACAATATTCTACGAAGTGATGAACAATCTTTTTAAAAATGTAAGAGAAATATTGTCACTTTTTGTTTTAAGGCGTTTTTCGTATTACTTTATTGTGACTTATCTTATGGTTTTGGAGTAAAAGCGTCTTTATGCTAAAAATGACGTTTTTCAACACAGAGTTTACATAACTATCACGGCGTGCCCGTCCAGATCCCGTCACTACTAAAAACGTGTCACTGTTACTCACAACAAATGCCGGTTTTCCCATTAAACTCCATAACGACACTAGTGATATCTGCCGAACTATTTGAGCTTTAAGCGTGGGATTTTTACAGCATGCACTTTTCGCGGAGCGCTGAAAGATGGCGTTGTTAACTCAATTTCTCCCAATTTCGTATAGTGACGGTTTGATTATGAACGTGCGATATTTTGTCAATACTAACTTTATAATCATAAGCAAGTAAATGACGCAATGAAACGGGAGTTAAAGGAGTATGATGATACATTTTGAACGATTACTAATATTTTAATTGATGGAACTGGATATGATTGAGACTTCCTTAACATTAGACAATCTTAATTGCTCACAGCAAAAAATTCTAACAAAAAAAGTGTTCCAAAAATTCGTCTGTATCAGATGAAGTTCAAACTAGGTATAACCTATGTTTTAGCATTAGTTTACTAACGGTTGACAAACAATACTAAGTTTGTATGTAGACTAGAAGCATGCCTATTTTAGTACAATTATTTAATAGATTACTTAAAATAGGTGAGAGTGCGCTAAGAGTGAAAGTCAACTATCAATGTACCTTGATTTAGTTATTAATATATTTGAAATACCCGACACTTGTCTTAAACTCTACATGACTAACTACGAGACCACCTATATGAAATAATATATTTTAAATATTTTCAGGTGTGACTTTATAAATAAATATCATAATTATGTTCATCTAAAACATTAGTGGCCTTATTTAGGTAATCTGAATAATAAAATAGGAAGTGAAAATACTGAAATAGGAAGACTGATTTAACCTGCATTAGTTGAATAATATCTGATTTTCGAATTTAGTAATTTGTATTGTTGGAAAGTTATTTCTTTATTGATTTACTCAGCTACCATATTTTGGTATACATATTTAAATATTATACAAATGTAATAGGCTTGTATCCATAGTGAATAAATCTGCAGTATAAGATTGTATAACTATTAAGATAGTCGTATAATTAATGAAAAACGAAACTACATAAAATAATAATTAAAGATTATTTATATTTTTAGCAAATAAATTCGGAAAAAATGGCCCATAAGTCACGTGACAGCAAACACCAATCAGAAAGCGTTACGTCATTTTTTCTATCTTTTTAAATATAGTTTTTTACGGCTCTGGGTGCGAGCCCTTTTAGGCCAGATTGTCATTGCCAACATTTGAGTGTTGCTAGAAGGTTATTTTTGTAACCGTTTAGGTGATTTTTCGAAATTTGTAGATATTATTTCTTTATAAGGCTCAACAAATAATTTTACATTATGTCTCGAGTTTTGGCAAATAATGTTAGATATAGGTACTGTACAGTAGAACTAAGTGATATAAATAGTATAATAATACTATAGTTTCCCATTTATGAATAAGATGAGAGAGTACATTTTAAAAATAGGTTACATTTTTTTACATTTCTGGTAATTTCTGACAAGACCCGACTGGCAACACTTTTCTTCATGTGAAGTCTTGACCCAGAGCCGTGAATTTCTATAAAAAAAAAAAGTAAAAAAGTGAAGTTTGTTGGTAAATATGTCATGAATAGTTCCTAACCTCATTTTGTTGTTATCATTATTCTTAAACAAAGTTCAACAATTTCATTATAATATGTAGGTACATGATATCAGATTATGTTGTGTGAAATATCTAACTTACATTGAAATGATCTTCACAAAAATACATCCTTGATTTTGTTGATAAACAATGGACATCATATTTTACGTATCTGCTGATTGTTTGGTACGTATACCTATAAATAACTTATTTGGCGTTTTTATTCTTGTGCATGTACATTGGGGCACTATACAGGACTTGAAATACGATGGATCCATTTGTAATTAATTTAACTTTACAATTTCCGTACTAAAACAGCTGTGTTTTGCAAGGCGTGACGTCATTCAAGACGCCATGACGGTCGTGAGCGTTTTTGAGGGCTATATGTCAAATATTATTGAAAATGCAAAATAATCCTTGGAGATGAGATTTTTTTCCAAAATAAGAGCGCATTTGTATAAAATAGGCATCAAGGTATATTATTAACTAATTATTGAAATTTGGGCGAAAAGCCTATTGTATGTATGAGAATACATAAATTTATCTGAAATTGAAATATTTATTTATTACTAATTTGGTACTATGATTATTCATAAAAATAATATCTAAATCTTTTATTTTTCAAATGTTTATTTATTCAAATTATAAAGTAGTATATTATTTTAATTTGATATTATTTTTGTTATTTGTTTATTTTAAAAATGCCAATTGAGGCCTGTTTTTTTCTTGAAGCATCAAAATATCTTTAATTACGATTACAATATTTTTTCTATAAATGATAACACATTTATTTTAAAACATTAACATTGTTTCTCAAAGCATAATAATAGTGAATGCTTCTCAAGTTAAAAACTTACAATACAATAATAAAGTTAGTTAATAATTTTATTATTGTCGCAATGGACCACCAACCAATATAAAAATGTTTAGGTCTTATTTTGACCTACAAGAAAACCATAATATTGGTTTTATTTAATAAACATCAAACATACAGTAATATTATTATGTATGTTGTTATTTGATTATGTATAATACATTGTTATTTATTCAAAATAAAATGCATCCCTACTTATTTATGTGAAAAATTCCATAACATAATATCTTGAAGAAAAAGAAGCTTGTAATAGTTTTTTCTTGAATAATGCCGTTAGTAAAGTTCTACTACAGAAGTAAGTAGGATCTAACTCTAAAATATAAAATAATTTTGTAATAATGTATTGTGTGAATTTTATATACAAGGGTTCAGACAATTATGTATTCAAAATTTTTTTGAATAGAGTTTCGGCTCATGATAATACTTGATTATCATCATAATAGCGTCCTACTTGTAACAAAATGATATACATATAAACTGCCTTTATGTGTGATTGTAGTGTGGCGCATTCTTGTATGAATAAAATTAACTAGATTTAAAATTTTGAAAGTCTTTCTCTATGGTTTGCAATTTTGTTTTTGATAATAGCTGCCCCGCAATATTTTGTGCAGGCAACTTTTTAGTCGTTTTTAAATACTTTTAATGAATAAAACCATAGGGAAGGAACAATTGAATTATAACATTCTATAATTTCATGTAAACGGGCAGTTAATGCCGCTGTAGTGTGTCATATTTCTTTTAATTTTATATTTAGTATAAATAAACTAGACAATTGAAAGAAAATAGACATGCTAATAATGTGCATTTAATTTTCATTTCTTTGCAAGGATGGTTTAAGCATAATAAGTAAATGGTTGCATAATGGCATGTTGGCTTTTGGAACGGAAATAAAATGTTGAAAATTTTAAACGATTTTTATTTCAATTAAATCATTTTATTTGCTACATGGAAATTACATAATATAAATTTATCTAGAGTTGAAAGCCTAATTAATTGACGTTTCAACTCTATTAAAAAGCATCAGTCATGGTCGTCGTGGCGCGGTAAAATGCTCCGGAAAGAATGCCACCCAGTTCGATTCCTGGTGGAGCAAATTTCGAAACACTATCACAAAACAGAAACAGAAATTTTAGAATCACCTCTAGTTCATAAAAAGTCTACTTGGTATTACATTAGAATTCGTACATAGGTACCTATACTTCGTAACTCTAATTTTACTGCAAAATATTTAAGTCAAGTAAAAGGCTGCCCTGCAAAGTAAGGCTTATTCCACTATTCCCCATTGACAATCCCCGTCAACGGGGATTAGTGAACTTTTTGTTCACTATTCCCCGTTAACGCCAATTGGAGCTTATAATGTTATAAATAAAATCCTAATATAAAGGGGAATAGTGGAATAAGCCCAATGCAACAGTGTCAGGCATTTTTTTAAATCGAAGGTCTGCACAATTTTAGGTATAATTTTGATTCCAACTTGTAAAAAGATAATTATTGACATTTACAAAGTTTAATGTACTTATAAAATGCGAATCGTTTTCCCAAAATGCTGGTTTAATATCTCATATTATTTTCAATCCAATCCTACAATTAATAAATTATATCAAAATTATATTCCTGTATAATACCTATATCATCATTGTCGTAACGCGATTGAGAATAATACAAAATACATTAATCTCAATATTGCATTCCATATTTTTTAATTCGTAGCGTTTAATATAATAGCGTTACTGTTATTATTTCTTTGCCGGAAGTGTACATGCAGTTTTTAAATTTGCAATGGCAACACTAAGCACCCCGCTCCGCTTCCCCCACTGTCGGCCTGCCTGCGCGATTTGACAATGCGCATTTCCGGGTGTGTCCAAGTTGACAGTGCACGTGTGTGTTGTATTTTATTTCTCATTTTTCACTTCGTACAGTAAATAAAGTGTTCTACGTAAACAAAGAGTGAATAACAAAGTTCAACTCAGAGGATTATTCGGTGATCATAGCATCAAAGAAGGTATGTTGGCTGTTTAGTGGTAATTTTCGTATAGCCTCGTGCGGCGTGCGGTCGTGCCGCCATGTTGTAGTGTTGGCTTGGTTGGATTTTGGCAGCGCATGGCTTTTTGATGAAGTAGATTGCCGCCGATAAAGTAGGAGTCTTGAGTGATTACCGCGTGTTTAAAAACTGTGTTTAATATTATCCGTTTCTACTTCAATTTATGGCGAAGTGCGTAGTTGCCCGGATACAATTTTGTTAGATCTAGTTCACTTGAGCATAATCTGCAGTTTATCTACATCGCGAATTGGTGTTACGTAAATAGTGTTGTGAAAGTAGAGACAGCATCACCCCGGGGGTAAATGATGTCATTTGACTCTACTTTTGGACCAATCTTTAGCTCGATAATAATGTGATAAGGTTCCTAAATGAATTGCAAGTTTCTGCCCTTACCCACCTACTTGCTAATCGATAATAACTATCACGACTAATTGCTAATGTTGGCTGTGTTCACATGATTATACCTACATACACAAATACTATTTCGCTCACAACCTTCAATAGCGATCAAAAGTGGTATTTTACCGCGGATTTTGTGCCGAATCGGCAGTAATTACGTGGTATATAAATGCTGGCCTGTATAGCATTCTGTTTATTTACAAGGAGACACTGAGGTCAAAACAATGTACAGTAGCAACAAACCCCATTTTGTTTATAAACTTGAATGCTATTTACATTTTTGTGTGTATTTTATAACAGAAGATGGTGGGGTCGCGTGTTTATGTCGGTGGACTGCCTTTCGGCGTCCGAGACCGTGATCTGGAGAAGTTCTTTAAAGGCTTTGGCAGAATCAGAGATATCCTCATCAAGAACGGTTACGGCTTTGTGGTAAGTGTTATTTAAATTATTTCATTCATAAATAGGCTTTGGTTTATACCTATTTACCCAATCGACCACTAACTATGTCCCCAAATTAACTTTGAATACTAGCTCAATTATTTGTAACGATTGATCTTGTCAAATGCCTATGTGTTAGTAGCGAATCATTTATGCTTCGTTCATCATAGAAATCTACTTTTCCAGTAACCAATAATTTTATTAAAAACTAATACCATTTGCAGTTTGTAAATCTTAAGTAGGTATTTGAGTAGTTAGTTTTCATTCAAATAAAGAAACACCATGGTAACATGTTGTAAATAAAAAACCATGTTACCATGGTGTTATTTTATTTGATTAATCAATATGCTAATGATGTTATTTGTATGGGACAGTAACCAGGGAAGTTTGAGATTTTAATGTATCGTTACGTTAAGTTGTGTTATTTTTACAGGAATTTGAAGACTACAGAGACGCAGACGATGCAGTGTATGAGTTAAATGGCAAAGAGTTGCTAGGCGAAAGGTTAGACCCATCATAAGTATCACCACATTATTAATTTGAAGCCAACCAGTAGATTTTTTAGTAAACAAACATTAAATTAAATTATTATCTTTAGCCTCTTATCATTTGTACTTGACTTCTTTTTGTAATCTTTGTTCAGTTTTAATGATTAATTTTCTTTATCAGCCGGCTCCACATTTTGTGTGAGATTTGTATGGAAAACTTGTAAAAGAATATTTTGAATGAATGAGCATGTGTTGTGTGGCAGTTGTTTTCATGATTTCTATTTTTTTTTTCTTAGCACATATTGGCTTTTTTATCGTAAAATGATATGACAAAATTATATGTATTTTTTTAATTAGGTTAAAGGCATGTAGACGATGCAGTGCTTGATAACTGTATGAAGGGCCGTCTATTGAATACTTGTTGATTTCTAATCATTCTATTGAACGCATTAGAAACAATCAGCTAACCAATTGATATATGGGGTCATTAAGTTTAGATTATGTTTAGTCAAATATTTATAATTAATTAGATTTTGACTATTGTCCACAAATTAGCAACTCTAAATATCTATAAATTAAAATTTCATCTTGTTAGTTTTGTATTAAGTTACCAATTTGTAGGTAATTAATATTTTAACGCTGATTTATTAACTGTAAATAGAATTTGTTGCAACTGTAAAAGTGTGCATCCTGGGAACGTTTATAAATGTCCTACATCATCAGCCACTTTTTTATCTCCTGTACTATGAGTAACAGTGATGTACGATACATACAGGGTGTAGCTATCAACTGGCTAGCTGTGACAAGCGTATAGCGGCTGTAGTGGTGTGCGAGTGGCTAACAGCAGATGTTGCGCAGGGTGGTGGTGGAGCCGGCGCGAGGCATCGACCGCAGCGCGGACCGGTACAGACGCGAACGCTACACCGAACGCGACCGCGGCCGCTCGCGATACGAGTGAGTGATTACTGTGCGCTACGTACCGCAGGGTGTCGGTGGAGCGAGCGCGCGGCATGCCTCGCGGCTCGGACAGGTGGCGCTGTCGAGAGCTGCCGCCGCCGCCGCCGCGACGCCCGCCGCCGAGACGAGATACGTCTGTATACGACGATTATGCAAAAAACTTAGTGTGGCCTTTTTGAGGGCTCTTTCGGACGTTTTGAGCTGGACTTCTGTCATTCGTTTGCAAGCCCGCTCACAAATTTTTTTTCCTTCACAACCCTTCTGACCAGCGTGGAGAATGCAGACCAATTCGTCCATTTAGCTCGGGTAAATTAAAGGTCAAGCTCCTGCAGCGGAAAGTAAAGATCCTGATGATGATTCTGTGCGGTCTTGCAAACGTATAACTAAGGTTGGACTCGATTGTCTCGTCTTTTTAGAAAGAGCTCTTAAGTTTTGTGGGATATGGGCTGTAGTGTTGCAAGACTTTGAAGCTGTTCGCTGAATCCTTGCTCTAATGGTTCTTCGCTTACAATATATCCAAAATATCTTGTAGCTGTTTGTTCCTGTCTTTCGGGGAATTAGGTAGCAAACCGTCTATGCTGATTTACCATCAACTGAAGTATACAAGTAATGAACTGCAACATCTGGCAACACTACATGCCTGTCAGTTGTCGTGTCCTTAGTTCGGAATCGTCCAAGTTCGAACAATACCCGTGTTCTCGTCTCCCCGATCCCTTTGAATAATGTCAATAAGTTTCCTGAATGTTCCTAAAGTTATTGAAATTGTCCATGCTAGATGTCCCCTTTATTTGATATTTTTGAATGCTCCTATTAGCATGCTCCAGTCGTCTCTTTCCAAAGAACCACCATCTTTCTAGAATCTTGGCACTGCAATCATCCTACCTTAACACCATCATCTACCGAGCTCGATGACATCCACATCTCTTTAATATTCTGAATTTCTTTTAATCTGTCTTGATATTATTTTTGTTTTTTGCATATTCGGTCAATGTATTATTTTGTATTCATCCTCATGTTTTCTCCTAGTTTAGTACCTGTGCTTCCTTAATTAATCTAGCTGGTATTAACTCATCACATCGTTTATTTAGATTTTTAGAATTAGAGTATTTCACTTGCTATCGCTTACTTACGTTTTCTTTGATCTTTTGACATTTAGATATCTTTTCGCATTACAGCTATCTGTAAGTAACCTTGAGAGTCATTGAAACGTAAATAAACAGTTGATAAAACATTCGCACAATTCATAATTCGATGGCTCCTACGTATATGGGCGAAACTGCCGCTTACGCCTTTTTCCAATTATTTAAGCAATGATTTCACTTTGCTCTAATCTATAACATCAGTAAGAAAAAAAATTTTTTTTTCCATTAGATACAAAATAAAATTTTAGGCAAATAGGCGTATGTGCAAAACTTCGCCACGTATAAAGCCCAATCATACGATTCGTCAATCTATACGAGTAGTTGCTTACATAAACATATATTTTTTATAATCCAAATCTTAAATAAAGCCATGAAAATATTTAGCAAATTGTTTTATTTATAAATTATGACACATTATATAGTTATTTAATTTTTAGCGTTAAGAGTCGCATCTCAAACTAATTTGAAAATTATAAATAACTTGAAAAAATCGAACTGCCTAAGGCATCGTGGGTTCAATTCCCGCCTTAGGCAATTTGATTTTTTCAAGTTATTTATATTTTTTAAAAATATGACACATTATGTTAAAAGACCTAACTAAATCTCGAGCACAGTATATGGGCGTATTTGCGTTAAAACGTAAAACGGTACATTAAACGACTTTTTCTAACTGATTTATTATTGATATAGCACATGATAACAATTAAAATAATTACATGCATAAATAAAGAGAGTAATCGCTTAAAATATTATATTTACGTTGTCATTTAAGTCTCTTTACGTTGAACAATATACATGAAATTATAGAAATATGCCGACGTAAAAGGGCAATGCGTAAAATCTCAAAATATATAAGAAAAATATAAAAATTGATAACAGCAGTAGCAAAAGCATTACATGTTAAGGCTAAATGTGAAATTTCATTAAATTCGTTTTAGTAGGTCAGAAGATATGACCCAAAAATATGGTTCTGGCCACTAAAATGGCTCTCCTGTAAAATTTACTTTTTTCACTTACGCCAGTATACGTAGGAGCCATCGAATTGTAAAACAACTGTACAAATGATAAGCTTTTGTCCTTCATAGTTATTGCAAAATTCCAATATTATTTTACGAAGAATTTACTTAAAGTCCCCTTTAACATTCCTTATTTTTGACAAGGTCATAGAGTAAGCGTAGCATCGTAATGTAACGTATAACATGTTTTTAACAGTGACTCCAATTGTAGATACGGGCCGCCGACGCGCACGGAGTACCGGCTAATCGTCGAAAATCTGTCTAGCCGCATTAGCTGGCAGGTAAGAATCGGCCGGATCACGCCCACATCACCCATCACCTACCATCACCCAGGGTCCAGGACGCTTCACGTCACATGAGGGCAGGGCGCTACCACACGGAGGGAAACTCACTGATGACGGACGCTGCATTGAGGGACCTCGCCACCGATCACGATGCCAGGACCAAACGCAAGATGACCATGATCCAATGACGAAGACGCAAAGCCAGAGACAAAAATGGGAAACAGAACAAACCAGATGGGACAATGCACTGAAGACTCCACCTTGGGCCAATCAGCGGACCACATCCACCCGAGAGCTCTTCCTTCGAACTTGCTTTACTAATCAAATCATAAGACAGTTATTAAATTAGTCACAAATATCTCTGTAACTTAGTTTAACAATTTAACAATCAGAGAATTAGCATTGCATAACATTAATTTCTAAAAGTTTTTTCCTGTACACATGTAACGAACTTTCCAACGAGCTTATAGATGATTTTTAAAAACAACAGAAGGTGGCGATTCGTGCCCAGAGCCCTCGATGTAGCGCTGTGTGATGTGATCAGAGGCGATGTTAGGAGGGTTTCGGTCCTGCTGCCTGGTGGTCTGGCGTCGCCTTCGCCCGCCCGCCCCGGACTCTCGTGGCCAAGGTAAAGTGACCACAGGGGGGCACAGTCAACCGGAGCAGCTCTCGTTATGTGCAAACTCCCATTTAAATTCATTTTTTCATCGTTAATTTTTTTCCTTTTTACCACAACTCGTTCGCAATATGAACGCGACCCTTTCGAACACTCGATCGGGGCGTGGACTGTTGCGAACGTCATTTTTTTTATTCGTCAATTTTTTTTGATAGCCCCAACAATGTTTCGTGTTTGGCAATTCCTTGGAGGTATCATTGTTTACATAAAATCTGGAAGGCAGCGAGGCACACGGTGGATCATGGAGCCAGGAGGACATGGACTGACGAGATCTTTGGCGAGGATAGAGGATCATTCTGGAGTGATTACAATTACAAGTGCAAGAACGGGAGTCCCATAAAAGCTATTCGATGACAGACAAATGATAGACAGCTAGAAAAGAACCCAATCTTGGTGATAGCTAGAAAAGAACCCAATCTTGAGGAGTCTTGACAAATGAAAGCAATCGTGGATGGAGCAGAGCATGCATTTGACGGATGGGCAGCAGAAATTCCCAGACCAGCGGTTGAAACTTATGGTGTTCACATGATTCTGAGGATTTAACTTAAAACCACTTGGAAAGGCAATGATGACCTGAGACGACTTGAGGCCCAAGAGCTGGAATGGATCTAAAAAACAAAGACATGGCAGCCAAAACAATTGGACGATTGTAAACGATGATAACCGACAGGTAACCGTCTACGAAACAGTGTTGTGGGTTGTATTTTTTCACTTTATGGTTCATTGGATCCTTTTTCTTATCAATATTAAACTTGCTAGGCATTGCTAGGTTCGTAGGGCTTACATACATTTATTTGACTTTTTCAGGAGTCTGTAACACTCAATTATTTATGATGATATCGTATTTTAACCATCTTTCGGGGCAGAAAGCTCTTGTTGATAAATATATTTTCTGAGGAAGACTTCTGGAAAAGGCCTACGATATCCCGTTGGCCAGTGAATGACATTTTTCTTGGTTTACAGGACTTGAAGGATTGTATGCGTCAAGCTGGTGAAGTCACCTACGCTGACGCTCACAAACAACACAGAAATGAAGGGTGAGTTTTTTTTATTTATTTCTACTTACGTTCGGCAATAACAATGCTATTCGTAATAAAACGTAGGTATTTTTAATATTCAAGTCAATAGATAACGTTTTGTTGATAGGTATAATGATGTACATTTTACTGATAATGTAATCTTGAAATTTTGTTTTTATATTCAGAAATTATGTTCCATATTTTACTTATTATTTATTTTATTTGTCCATCCGTTAGCAAAGCAAAACGGCATTGGAATACAAGAATGACTATTAAATTACCATACAATGTGTGACTGTTACAGTCGCAAATGATGATATTGTATTTTTAACCATCTTTCGGGGCTGAAGACCTTGATGATAAATCTTACACTGACGCTTTCCCAACCCATATCATTTCCCATCTTTTCCTCAACAAGTCTCATCGACCCCCCTATTTTTTTCCAGAGTGGTCGAATTCGCCACCCATTCTGACATGCGCGCAGCTATTGAGAAGCTAGACGGTACAGAGTTGAACGGTCGTCGTATACGCCTGGTGGAAGATCGTCGCTCGTCGCGGCGTCGCACTCGATCGTCGTCCAGTCGCTCGCGCAGCCGATCGCGCGATCGCCGTCGTAGCCGCTCCAGGTTAGAACCGATAATTTTTATTTTTAAGGACAGGATATTGACCATCTCATGCGAGACTGCCCAATATTTAGCAGACTCCGGCATGAGCACGAGATGACATGCAACAATTTACGGATTGACCCCTATAAACCACAACAAATCATAACAAAATCCCAACCAATCGTCACGTTCATAGCCCTCATCAACTCAATAGTCCATCAACTCAAGGGGATCAACAAAACATAGCTTGTAAGCTACGTATTGTTGGATCTCTATCTCTTTTCACGTTTGGTAGCAGACTGTATCCATTAGCAGACTGCAACTAAACGCCCTTGGAGCTCAGAACTTTCGAAGTTCAATAGAAACTGTGAGCACATTATTAGGCACTTTAACCAAAATCGCAAAAGTGCCGAAGACACAATTTTTTTTATTTTTTATTAACCGATAATTTTTATTTTTTAGCAACCGACAACCGCCCAGATAGATTTTATCAGGAACTTAACGTGGCTTGAGGGCCTGATTCACATAACAGTCCAACTGATAGACTCACTCAGTGTGAACGTTTGGTTGGGGGGTCGCAAAATATTTTTTCATACTAGGGGGTCATGTCATAAAGGTTGAAAAACACTGGATTAACCTATTAGATGAACTACAACTTTTGATCGCACAGTTTTCAGACAGAGAGCTGGAGAGAATCAATGCAATAAGTTAAGAAAGAATAAAATATTACAAACTATCTTCTGAAGTTTTGTTTCCTACAAACAACAATCGTTTTAAAAATAGTTTTTTTTTTTAATATTCAGTGGGAATATGATCATTGCAATCATGGAGACCTTAATTTATTTTATCGAAGCTTCACAGCCAGTAGACTTTACAAAACTTGACAGTCCAAATGTTTACAATACCTAATATTCAAGCCCTATATTTTTTCTAAATGATGATATTGCCATTCTAACCATCTTTCGGGGCTGTACGCTCTTGATGACAACTCTACCGCTGACGTCACGCCACCCGTTACACCCCTACAATATTCCCTTCGCACCTGACTACACGTTTGCCCAGGTCTGGCCGTTCGCGTAGCAGATCCCGATCCAAGTCCCGCCCGAAGAGCAAGAGCCCTGCGGCCAAGTCGCGATCCCGGTCTCGATCCAAGTGAGTATGGGAATAGCTGGATGAGCTGACTTTTCAGTGGAGATCCGGCTTTATAAGCATTTGTTGAAAACTGTTTGGGGCTACGATCGCGTGTACCATAGTGTTTATGTTGTTATTAAGATGGGAAGTGCATAAGGATTTGGTTATAAACTCAATAATGTGTGCAACGCCCGTTGCGCAGTTAATGACTGAGATGGCAAGTTATGATCAACTAATTTGATTATTTGACCTAAAAATTACTTGCATCTCGATGAAAAGTCAATTTAAACATGTTGTTGCATTGCAAATACTAATTGAACTTTTATTATGAGGTTTAGTATTTCTAGTTAACTTCACCATTTCCTTCATGATAAAAAACAAACCATAATTTATTACATGATACGCCAGTGGTCCCACTAAAAAGTCTGCTAATCTACTAACATGCATATTATATTAATTAATACTAATATTTAGAGTTATCGCCAGGCAACCTTCCTAGTCAGGTAGAAGACCAGCAGGCTAGCTATCTAACAATAACTTCTATTGCAATCATTGTTTAAATTAAATATAACAAGTTGGATTGTAATATTCAACATTTTCTGGGTTATGTATTTCTCTATCAAGATAGCTACTTAATGCTGTGACTATGTAATAAATAAAATCGTTGTAAAAACCTTTGACCACCAAATCATTTAAATGACAAAAACATTAAAGAGCTGTTTATTTAAGGTGATTGCAATAGATGTTAGGCAATAGATCTAGTGGAGTTACATTTAGAACTATAGTTTGCTCACCCATGTCATATCATGAAATCCAAACTAAGACTGTATAATGTCCTTTTTTAAATTAATCTTTTACTCAACTAATATGCTTGCCTGCAACTGCCCTCTTCAATATAAATCCCACAAGAGCAGCTTGCTGCGGCATAAATAAACAAAATCTGCATGGATCTTTTATAAAATTAACATAGTCTTCATTTGGCTAGGTGTGTTATAACTTGCGCTGAGCAAAATTTGAAGATGTAAGTACTTAGCTATAAAATAGTACTCTATCTGTCTGTAATCTGTATGTATATTATACTGTAGTATCTTCTTTTTATCATGCTGATTTGGTGTTGACAATATCGATTTTTTTTATATTGCATGGTTGTTTTCAGTAGTCAATTATTTTATTGTCATAGTCATTCAGCATTCCATTCTTGTATACTGTATCTCGTGTCATCGTTGGAAGACGATCCCCTACCAAAAACATACGCATCATGCTTAGCCCAAAGGTTATTGCAAGAATATGCCTTAGGCATAAACGCCCGTATTGACAAACGTTACTTTGAGGTCCCACAGTGTGCGTGGACGCACAGGTTGACACGAACCAACCAATCACAGAGCTCTATTCAACACTGTGCGTTCGATTTGTTGCCTCGCTTAAGCAAGGATTGTTTGTGAATACGGGCGTAAGTTGTCTTGTGTTTAGAAGAAGAAGAAAAATAGTTTATTTGGTTCTAACAAACGTTTTACACAATTTAAATAACACATAATTTATTGAACCAAAATGGCTCTTACTCAGCTTGTATCATGTTCCATTCAGAACATGAATGCTGGTATTCTGTAGGAACCATCTTGAAAAGAGAATGAATATGGCATTAATGATTTGATTAGACACTATTGGTCATCAAAAAACTAAAACTCATTAAAACTCATTTATTTCTGTAAATAGGCTTAAAAAAGCACTTTTACACGTCCCAGTATTAACCCTACCACTGCTTCAGGACAATAAATTGGCCAGTGCTGAGAAGAAGCAGCGCAAGAAACTCAGTCACTATTGTCAGCCTCTTTTTCAAAGGTTTACATGCTTTAAAATGTACAAAGTTATAAATATTTATGCGAGCTAGGCAGTAACGGTCTTCCAACTTTGACGGCAACATGCTCGGTAGTTGTAATTGTATATTAAACCCCGTATTACCAAACGCGGCGCATCGCTAGGGACCGCAGCCGGTCCAAGTCTCGATCGCGCTCCGCCTCCCGTAGGTCGGAGCGCCGCTCCGCTTCCCGCCGCTCCGCTTCGCCCGTGGAGGACCGCAACGGACACCGCTCCGCTTCCAGGTCTAAGTCACGCTCGCCGAAAGACGGCTCACGGTAAGTTGTGTGCTTTCAATTGACATCTGACGGTTGTGCGTTTTGTGAGGTTATATTTTTTGTGTACGGTTGCACTGGACTCGTGTCGGTAGAAGATTTAGATCCATCATTCAATAGTCTAATGCCCGTTTACACCTTCAATCCCTAATTTTTAAGTGAGCCCTATGGTAACACACAGGAATTTTGTTTTCAAAGGGATCACTTAAAAATTAGGGATTGATGGTGAAAATTGGCTTAATTTTCATATTATCAAATCTTAAGCATCTTAGACCAAGATTTGGCGCAAACGGCACACAATCGTCTTGTGCTAAATCTTTTTCTAAACAAAATATGCTTGAAGATCTCATAATACAAAAGATTACCATACGCAACATACTTCTAAAATATGATCTAACGTAATTTAAAGCTAAAAATATCTTCTAAAGACATTGCTGTCCAGTGATAACCGCTTCCAAATCTCATTACCTCAAATACGTCATCATTGGTGATGGAATCAAAACTGCATGCTTTATTAATCCGATACACTTCATTTAAACTCCGCACTTTAAATAATCTGAAAACATAACTTCACACATAGATAGTGCATTATTGTCAGATGACACATAGTTTTAACCATTGGCATCTTTTTTGTTAACAAAATTCATCGTTATCCATAAGTGAATAATATTGATAGCACAATTTAATGTCATTATTAACTCTGATCATTGTTTCCTGCCACGCAGAGAGACGGCAACCAAGAGGTGAGCGTTTTATATGTTGTCGTTTTTGTTTGCTCATCTAAAGCTTATTCTGCTTATTTTCATGGTTTGATTTGTGTTTATTTAATTTTTATTTTAGTTTGTTGTAAGTAAACTGTCATTGGTGTGGTTTTTAATGAAACTGATGTGATTTATGTTTAGGGTTATATTTTATGCATTTTGTTTTATTGATTAAAATTCAAATGTCAATATTAGAGATTCAGATTTGCGTCACACTCTAGTATCTTTACTCACTCTCTTTTTTCACCATAACAGGGACAGATCCCGTTCCCGCAGCAAGGAGGCGTCCCCCAAGCGTGAGGAGGAGCGCCGCGCCGCAAGCAAGTCCCGCTCCCGCTCTCGTTCCCGCTCCCGCGACCGCTCCGCTTCCCGCGACCGATCCGCTTCCCGCTCCCGCTCTCGCTCCGGATCCCCGCGACAAAACGGAGACGGCAAAGACCGCGCGAGCACAGACCGCTCCCCGCGTAGCGGAGACTAAAGTTAAAATTACACTTTTAAGACATTTAGGCTAGGATAGGACTTTGATTTTATGAACTTGACTTCGTCTTTTGTTTCGTGGACCTAAACGGTTTATAGATCGTTTCATCCATGAAGACGCGTCCGCTAATGTTTGAGTGTTATCGGTACACGCTAAATTGTCCATAAGTGCACACGCACACTAAAATAACGACGCTCGGATTGCTCGGATTAAACTCCACGCACCCCGCGCTTCCCTTGACCAAAAATTGGTGGGGCCCGACTTCGTTGATGAAACGAGCTATAGCCACTTTCATTTCTCTTGTTCTTGGATGACCGCTACGATTCTTGATCTCTTAGATATCTAAATAAGCTCATCCCTTTGCAATAATAGGTCTACGCTTTGTAGGTACGCGTTTATTTGATTGAAGTCACGATTGTAATATAAGATTTTTAAACGCACCGTTTTTTGGCATCGGTCACGAGTAATTTGTGTCGTCTTTACTATTCACAGTAATATAGTTGTAAACGTCGTGTAAGTGCGCTGATTAACGAGTTAAGATTTTATTTTTATAGTCTCTAATTTAAAGTGACAGGGAACTTGTAATGATAACATTGGTAACATGGACTAATTTTAAGATCAATATAGTTTACCATTCAAATGCATTTTTGTCATATTATTGCAATGGCATACCATTCACTCATTTTGGTTGACTGCTGATATTTGACGACTAAAACAAATTAAAGTACATTTTACACTACCCATGGTATTAGGGTATAATTTGTGAATTAATTTCCTTTGAGATAGGTAAGGTTATATGGTATTTGTAAATACTGATTTTTGTTACTAATAACCAAATAAATAAGTTATAGGTACAACTTGTTTCATTTAACTACGCCCTTTATTTGGTTTGGGAGACCATCCAGTCCTGCCATTAGGGATGTTCGAACCCTTTGTACCTAGGTAGGAAAATACATTAGGAAACAACTGACATAAATAGGTATTATAGACAAGTATTTAATAAGATTTGATGAATGAGAGATGGCCTTCAATACTTATTAGTAGCATACCTTGAGAAACAACTTGCAAACTACCTTCGCTGGTTGGTTTTTTTTTTATGTGGAGGAGTTGAAGACAAACTGGAACAAGTTGCAACGCAGGCTTTAGGTTATACAGGGTGGAAATTTTGTAATGCCACTTGAAGGGAATGCTTTAGAATTTAGATAGAGAATATTTTACTCAAGAAAACATACCTTAATATTTTAAAAGAAAAGGACTGCATGCATTCAAAGATTTCCAAAAAATCACCATTACCATTTTTTGTATTCATGTGGTTTTTCTATTTGTTTTATTTTTTTTATTACACAGGTTTTATACCTTATTACATTTATTGTTTATTTATCAAGTTTATTAGTTTTTATCCTTAGAATTAACCATATCGATCGTGTAATAAAAAATACAGGGTGTAATTTTTACCACATTCGGTTCGATTCCCGGGTGAAGCAAGCGAATTTTCGAAAATCATTAACTCGGTTCACTCATTCACTAGTTTACTTTATGACGATTCGAGTACCAAATTGTCAGTTGCTCTCCAACCTCCACAGTGAACAGACGTGTTGAGGCAAAGTTAGTGAAGTGTTTGTGTTATGTAAGGCGGGGATGCTGTTCGAGCTGCAAGTCCAGGTTAGTGTAGAATATTTATTTTTATTGTTATTTAAATAAATTAATATCGATTTATTTAATCTTATGATCATATGGTTAAAAAAAGTAAATTGGTCGATTTTCTAATAAGTGCATACTTACAGTATTTATTATGCTAGCTTCTGTCCGCGTGGAACAGTTACTTTGGGCTAGCGCTAGAATGTATTCTTCATTGGTACTCCGCTCCTATTGGTCTTAGCGTGATGATATTACAGGGTGCAGGAAACGAGTGTCCTCACTGGATTATTTTTAAACTAGTTTATATCGAAATTACTGATCCTGTAAGTGCTTCACGAGCTCTATCAAACAGTATCAATAACAGGTTATAGAAATCGAATAAACTGATCGGATCTATCCGAAAATTCAATATTTTCAGAATGCATTATCTAGTTCAGCCACATTTACTACATTCGTTGGCCTCTAGATCTCCCGATTACGATCGGGTAAGTTTTCTGTGGGGTTTTTATAATAGTCCCGGATCTACAGTGCACGAGCAAACGACTTAGATGAACTATATTTTAGGTAATACTAAAATTCGTTTAAGAGAAGCTATATTGTAGCTGCCTACTTTAGATAGAGCGAAAAAATGCATAGCAAGTGAAGGATGCTACTTCGAACAATATTAGAAGTTACAGATTTAAATTAAATAACAAACTTACAATAGTTTATTTTATGTGCTGAGGGAGTAGGTATTATTTAAAATTATTTATAGAGTTGAAATTAAAAATAACTTGAAAAAATCGAACTGCCTAAAGCGGGAATCGAACCCACGACCTTTTGCTTGCCGGGCGACAGCAGCTCTTTTCCTAATTAATAACTGAAAGCATTTACGAAGCACTTTTAACGCTTTTTGCGTGTAGTTTTAAGAGCTCTTTGAAGTATTGTAACTTTTCTAAATCAACTGCTATTAAGTAAGTAGGTAGTTCTTTATCGAGTAACAATAATTATATTTCATTTTTTTAAATAAAAAACTAGTTTGTATAACTGAGCTCTATTTCATCAAATAAATGAGAATGTCCGATTTTACAGTCTCATAACATACTGTGCGATGGAGTTAACCGTGCACCTCGCTGGAATGCAAATCCCTCCCCGCGTTCGCCACGTCCCACAGTGGTCCCGATTTAATAAAACATGGACATTGATGCTAGAGGCACGAAAATTTTTTTGATGGTTACTGCTATGATAACTAATAAGGCAAAAAAATATTACAATCCTACGACGTCTATTTCATAGTAAAAAAAATATATAAATATTTTTTGTATGGAAGAAATTACGTTTCTGTCAATTTTTCGAAATTCTTTAACGATGTCAAGATGCCGATCACACATGTTTATAAAACAAGTGATTCTGAGTATTTCATGCGAAGATACTTGTCACTTATCTCTGCGTACTTTTGAGTTATCGAGGGTTGAAAAATCGATTTTTTTGTATTAAATATTTCCACGAAAAATTGCCAGAATTACAATATGGTGTTTAAGGGACACTTTTGATGACACATAACAACGACTCGCACTCGCGCGCGCTCGTATGCATCAACTTTTACTAAAATTAAAAAAAATTAAGGGAAATACTTAATACAAAGTTGTATGTATAGGTCCGCTGGCCGTCAAAAAGTAGCTTATACGAGAGTTTGCCCAATTTACAAGAATATGTCCATCATTGATAAGACTCACACAAATATCGTCTCTCTCTCTGAAGGATAACAAGTTTTTTTTGTTTCCAGAAGCCCATAAATACTCTCTGAAGCGAGAATGAATCTCAAATTGCGATATTCCCATTTTGACAAATTACATGATGCAACTAGCGCTAACGTTTATCTTCAGGTAGACACAGTTTTAAGTTAAAAGATTGTCTACTATTTCACACTGTTCTTCGTTTTGGAACAGTTCTTTGATTATAGGTAGTAGAGAGATGATATTTGTGTGAGTTATCAATGATGGACATATTGTAAATTGGGCAACCTCTCGTATAAGCTACTTTTTGACGGCCAGCGGACCTATAGATACAACGTTGTATTAAGTATTTCCCTTTATTTTTTATTTTATTTTATTAAAAGCTGATGCATACGAGCGCGCGCGAGTGCGAGTCGTTGTTATGTGTCATCAAAGGTGTCCCTTGTACACCATATTGTAATTTTGGCAATTTTTCGTGGAAATATTTAATACAAAAAAATCGATTTTTCAACCCTCGATAACTCAAAAGTACGCAGAGATAAGTGACAAGTATCTTCGCATGAAATACTCAGAATCACTTGTTTTATAACATGTGTGATCGGCATCTTGACATCGTTTAAGAATTTCGAAAAATTTACAGAAACGTAATTTCTTCCATACAAAAAATATCTACATATTTTTTTTTACTACGAAATAGACGTCGTAGGATTGTAATATTTTTTTGCCTTATTAGTTATCATAGCAGTAACCATCAAAAAAAATTTCGTGCTTCTAGCATCAATGTCCATGTTTTATTAAATCGGGACCACCGTGCGTCCGTACAGAGCGTCGATGTGACGTCACGGTTGCCAAGTTCGCAGTTAACTTGACTGGTTTGTACTGGTATGCACCTACACAGTACCTGTACTGTGTATGCCTAACTAAACAGTGTTATATTGCTTGTACTGTGTTTTATTGTTGAGTATTGAGTAAAACGTGTGTGAACATTGTTACTAACTCTACTAATATAGTCTCTAAGTTCAAATTGTTACTAACCAAACTATGGACTGCTTTTGTCTGATAATAAATGATTTTTATTTATTATTTTTTAAAACCCAAATCTTTTCTTTTCACGAAAAACTCTACTCCTCATACTTACACTGCTATTCATGTATTTAGGGTAGGTATACTCAGTGTGTTCAAGGGTTCAGGAATTAAAATGCATCTGTAATCTTTTGTAAACAATTGTTTATTAACATTTTATTTTCCGCGGTCTCGCTGCACATTATTAATTCGTCACATACACTCGCTGGCAAATTATCACTGGTGCAGTGCCTGGCCACCCAGGCACCGCCAGCCATACAATGACTTGTGTGAATATATCTATGGAATTACACATTACTTCCAAGTTTCCAACTATTGACAATTATTACTTTCATTTTTCTTTTGAAATCGAAAATATGTGAATATACTAAAGTAAATAGAAAGACAGATTGTACTCTGCAACACATAATGATCACTGGTCTCGCATGCAAAATAAACAATTTAAGAAAATAGCAAGAATAAGATTTTAAAAGATAAAGCTAGTGGAATGATTTGAATTTGTTACTTTCAGTATACTCACAGATCCTAATACAAATACATTCATGATTTTCAGTAAAATGCGTCCAAAATAATCAAGAAGTCAATTCGCTTCAGTCAATTGTAAACAAAGCTCAAAAAATAATTCAATCAATGATTTCTCTAATAAAAATTAAGGGAATTCACAATAATGTAATTAAGTATCAATAAATTAATTAAAATACTGTCATTTTATTGGTCTGGTGCACAGTTAAGTTACATACAAATGGTATCATTAAAATTTCTCAAAAAGAAAAATGAAAGAAGTTCACTGTGATCAATTTTAAGTACAAAACATTATGTTATTAGTACAATTGTCTGTGTATTACTATTTCCGCATAATTTAAACTTACAATTTGTCATCTTACAAAATTAAATACAAGAACATTATTATTGATCATCAGTCTATTCATATCTCAATATAAATTTTACAATTGTCCTTTTACCATTTTAATCTACGTCCTGGTACAAAAGGCAACATAAGAGGTAACGCCTATCACTTACCAAATAATATCTACAAGAGTTTTATAAAACGGTAATTTAACATAAATTATTTCATAAACGGTTCGATCGATGAGCGACAGGCCCTATGGGGCTTGTGGCGCATCCAGCGAACCTATAAACACAACATATTTCAAGAACTGTACCTATTAAAATAAATAAGTTAAAACAACCTGAAATATCGAGTCCTATGTTGCCTGATGACACAAATAATATTGTCACAGTACTCTTACGAAAGTAATGGAGAATATACTTACAATTCTAAAACTTAATAGTTTTTTTCTATACATGACTTAGGTTTCGACATTTGTTTCTTATAAGTACTCCTGATATTTAACCTATGGACTAACAACGCGCGTGATTTTCACAACTGATTTTTTCCGACGGCGACTCCCGCCCCCTCTATATGGAACATCGATATAGAGAGACCAAGAATGACCGTCAGGCAGGAACGTTAAGTTATTGTGCTAACTGTGATCTACATCCCAAGAACGGAAGCTAAAAAGGGTGAAAAAATCTATGTCGATTTTCAAGAAAACCTGAACAAGATTTTAACTGAAATATAACTTTCACTATAATAAATCATAGGAACAAACGACAATAATTAGTCAATCACAAATAAATCAATGTAAAACTGATGAACGCATCATTCGCGTTTTTCATAAATTAGGCTAAGAATCTTATTTTACGCACGGTTTGGTTTCTGTACTGGTGCGAGTCTAGGGGATAGCGTTAGTAGTGCGAGATTCCGCGGGGCGATACTGAGCGAGTGAGTCGAAATGGAAATTGTTGGGAATGAGACAGATCGAAGAATAAAGTTTCGGATCGGTAGAGGTTGAGTGGTCAGTATTGCCCCGCGGGGCGTGCCGCGCATCGGACCGTAGTGCATCGGCGTCGCTTCACACCGTTACCTACAGAGATCGCAGACGGTGGACAAGTCCACCCGGCCCCTCGGCGAACGCGGTCCTCGCCCGAGCGGTTGCGGCCGCGGCTGCCAGAATTGGCAGTGAATTTTGATCCAAAGTTTGACAGGTGAAGATACTCGGCGAATAATGATAATAGGATTCCGTGGAGGGTAGTTGAACGGGAAGCATGGTCGATCTGTTTTAATGGTTTCAATTTATTATTTAATGGACTTTAGTGTACAAATTTGGTGTTATTTTGTGTTCTAAAGTGCAGTGAAGTGATAAATTATAAAAAACAATGAAATACTTCGAATTTGAGCGCGCATCGAGTGTCGAGTGGGTTGTCGTATGAACAACCCGCTTTGGACCCGGTGGCGTCTCGAAACCTGCTTACGGGCATACTCCACGGAATCCATGAAAAATCAATAGAACTGAAACACCCACGTTCTATTGATAACTATGTCAATATTTTTCACTCGACATTGGCAAATATAAACCTCCCAGAGAGGTTTGGTTGCCACAAAAAAAAAATGATAATACGATAATACTCTGGCAACCGCAGCCGCAAGGCTGGCTTCGGAGCGATCACGTGTACGTTACGCGTCCGTTTCCAGGCGACGTTCACCGATATAGGGCGGAAAACGCGATCCGTCCCGCCATTACTATTTACAGGGCGTACGAATCGCAAATAAATACACCGACGATTAAATCTAGCCGTTTATACAGGTGTCACTTTACACTTTTATTTCTATATTTACAAGCGGCGCACAGCCTGGTTCGCACGAGCGTCCGTTGAATAAATAAGTTATATTGTCCACTGGGGGAGGTCGAGCACTACACTTGCGTGGCAAACGTGGGCGGTAAGCAGTGGTCGTCGAGCACATACACCCCTCCGCCTTCCAGCGCCCGCTTCACGAGCGATGTATCGCTGCAACAAAACAAATAACATTAATTAACACGTCGATTCAATAACGTTGGCTTAAATTAACGGCATTGTACTGAACAACTTGATTGCGGTGGCGTGTCTAGAGATTAGTTTCACGTACATAAATTGTTTGACTTTGAGAAAATGCTTGTGATTGCTCATACCGGTAGTTTGGTAACGTTTTTGCACAACGTATTCAATTTAGGTAACTAAGTAAGTGATTCACAATCAGCCCATTTACATGCGTACATTGGGCTACTGTTACACTTTCACTAAGTTTAAGAAGCTGCCCTCGTGTCTAAGTCTATTCTTATTAGTGCCAAACTTCGGACGCAGGTCGGCCGTTGTAAGGACAATCTATTCAGGTGGGGATTCTTAGATGGCGCAAATACTGACAAGCTGACAACGCCACTCTTGTAGCGGAGTTTTGAACTGACACCGTTCGACACGACAAGAAGAAGATCAGTGGTAACTTAAAGCATATGACTTACTAGCGGCCGCCCGTGACTACATACGCGTGGACCCCGTTTTACCTCCTTAGGGGTTGAATTTTACAAAATCCCGTCTTAGTGAGCACCTACGTTCTAAAAAACCCTCATGCAAAATTTGAGACTACTAGCGCTTGTAGTTTTTGAGATTTCGTGATGAGTGAGTGACCTTTCGCTTTTATATCTATTTATTTATTTAAAATATTTATTGCACACGTAAGGGGGCGTCCATTAATTACGTGAGACAATTTTGGCAATTTTTCAACCCCCCCGCCCCCCTTGGTGAGATATGGTGAGATTTTTCCAGACCCCCTCCCCCTCCCCACAATCTCACGTGAGATTTCTTAAAATACATATTTGCAATGTAAGGGTTAGCTTCGATTAGGATTTAATATTAAAAAAACCGTTTCTTCTAATTTCTTTATTGTTTAATCGGTTCAGAATAAAAAAAAAATATCATTATAATTTTAAAATATATTTATTTTTTTAATTTAAAATAATCCAGTTTTCTCACAATTTGACCCTTTTTCTTGCTGAAAAAAATTACGTGATATTTGTCGAGACCCCCCTCTCCCCTACATGAGATTTAGTGAGATTTTTCTGGACCCCCTCCCTCCCCTAATCGTCTCACGTAATTAATGGACGCCCCCTAATAAATAATAATTAACAGGCGAGCTTAATGCCATGAGGCATTATCTACCAGCTAACCAGAAAGTTAGGCAAAACAGAAAATTTAAATTTATAGATATAGATTAGATAGTTTAAAGTAGATAAAGTAGTATGATTATGCTTACCTATTAGCACAATACGCGGAGTCGGCGGATAGCCGCGAGAGCCTCGGGTCGAGCGCAGCCAGCAGCCGCGCCGCGCTCTCAGTATTAAGCGTCTTGCGCTTGCACTCCTCCGCCGCGGCGTTGTGAGCGTTCTGACACTCAGCCGCGGGCGCGTCGCATTTGCCCCACGTGTTGCGGATCACCCGCCCCCCTCCCCCCGCGTTGGCTGCGTTCTGCGCCCGCGCCTCGGCATCGGCCGCGTTCTGCGCACGCTTCCGTCGCCGCCTCACACACGCCACCGCCACCGCAGCCGCCAACGCCACCGCCGGCACCAGCGCCGACAGCGCCGCTATCAACGCCACGTGGCGGCCCGACAAACTCTCCTCTTCCCCCATGTTATCCCCCACTCGCTTCAAATGATCCCCCGCCGGTTTCGAAACGAAGTCCGCTAGCAACACCGTACACGATTTCCCGCCCCACCCGGCAGAACAGTCGCAGTGGTAGCCGTTCACTCGGTCGCGACACGTTCCGCCGTTCTGGCAGGGTGAAGAATCGCACTCGTCGATGTCGATGCTGCAGTCCTTTCCAGCGAAACCGGGTAAACAACGGCACTCGTAGTCGTTGTCCAGCACCAGGCACTTGCCGCCGTTTGCGCAGGGCTTCGCTAAACATAAGTCTACGCGCGTCTCGCAGCGAGCCCCCACGAAGCCGGGCGCGCACTGGCAGCGTCGGTCGTTCACCAGGTCCACGCAGGTCCCGCCGTGTTCGCACACAATCCCTGCGCAGTCGTCAATGTCGATTTCGCACCGGTTGCCCTTGAATCCAGGTTTGCAGGAGCATCGGTAGCTGTCGCCGGCCCGGGAGCACGTCGCGCCGTTTCTGCAAGGGTTTCCGGCGCACGGGTCGGCTTCCATCGCGCAGTCGGGTCCGGCGAATCCGGGTGGGCACACGCAAACGTAGCCGGACGATCGTGTTTCGCAGCTGCCGCCGTTTCGGCACGGCTGGTCGGCGCAGGTCAAAATTCGCGTTTCGCATTGGGCTCCTTCGTATCCGGAGGGGCACGCGCACACCAGTTCCTTGCCCTCTTGCACGCACGCTCCTCCGTTCAGGCACGGTCGAACGGCACAGGAATGGAGGGACTTCTCGCAGTTGAGCCCGGTGAACTCCGGGGGGCAGACGCAGGTGTAGCTGCCCTGGCCGGTGTTGTGACAAGTCCCCCCGTTTTTGCACGGTCGATGGTTCGTGCAGTAGTTGAGGTCCTGGTTGCAAAACAGCCCGCCCCAGCCCTCCTCGCAGATGCAGTCCCAGGGCTTGGAGCAGGTGCCGTGGAAGCAGCCCGGATGCCGCTGGCACTGGTCGCAGAGCTCGCCCACCCAGCCCGTGTGACAACTGAAATGAAAGGAAAACACACGTCAGAAAAGAATACGTGATAACAAGGGGCTAAAAAGCGTCGCCTTTCTTTTCGTGCGGAACAATGAGGAGGATGAATGATTCAGCCGCGGAGGGAGGCGGGTCGGCGTTTAGCACAAAAGTGTGAAGTGGACACTCACATGCACTCGTCGGGCTTGAGGCAGTGGCCGTGCTCCGCGTCGCAGCCGGGTAGGCACCTCGCTGCAACAAAAAGTACATTCGTTAGCGCGTCGAGACAAAGGGGCGAACACAATGAGCGGAGGATATCTTTAATTTACGTGGGGGGGATGCGAGCGATTAATCACGTGAATGAGAACCGATGTGAAGGCATTTGCGCTGGAATCTCGCGGTTCTGCAAAGGACACGCCGCAAAGAGAGAGGTTCGCGTCCCGGCCGGGGGCGAGGTCGCGCTCCAACAATTTATCTCCCGCTCGCAACGATCCACCATAAACTTTATAATAAATTATTTTTTACTAGAAGTTCCCGTCATACGTTTCCTAGTTATAAATCGAATCCTTCGCTATTTAAAACCATCGCGGAGCGGAGATATTTATAAAGGCTTAGAAAGATGAATATTTAAGTCCGGCTCGTGATGTATTAGAGGCGTAATATGTGCGCATCGTTAACTGTGTGATTTACGTTCTATACACGGCGAACCTTACCCTGTTCTAAAGTTACAGTGTGAAGAAAGTGCCGTGGTATGCGAGGCGCGGCCGGCGTGCATCGCGCTGCAAAAATGCACTAAGTGTCCGTCGACAAAAGAGCGAGCGGCGATGTATGGTGAACGTTGGAAAGTGTTTTGAAATAAGAAGTCGGAGCGCGAACTCGTATCGGTCGGGTGCGCATGGGCAAGTTATCGGAGCGAATACAAAGGGGGCAGATAGCGCGGGGAGCCTAACCGTCACTCGACCGTTACTATTCCCCTAACTCGCTAGAAAAATACTAGACGCCATCTTGCCAGTCTATTCCGATGCAAATGTCGGATTATTCTCGGTTGGAATTGAATAAGGAAGCGATTTGCGCGAAACTCCTCGCACCGTGGATTTTCAGAGCTTAATTCGGTCTGGTAATTGAAATAGATTAGGCACCCCGCTGGCTCTCCACTTCGTAGGTTTAAGCGCAACCAGCGAGCGCAAAGCTCCCTAAACTTGTTCGCAAATCGGCTTACGGCGCGCTCGGGCGAATTGCTGGAGCTTTATTATGCCTGTTTGTAGGGGAAACGAAAAAGACAATCAGCTTTCACGGAGGATTTCACACTTTCACGAATACGTGTTTTAAGTTATATGTATTCTCATGGCCATTATAGCGAAGAATAATAACATTTTACGAGATACATTAAGCCGAACGAGTGGAGGCGCCTTCGACGGCCCAACAAAGGAGATCAAACGCGCTCAAGTGTCAGACTGTTGCGCTCCACCACTCTAGCCAGAGTACCACTCGACTTATCGTGACCCTTGAACGGTATTACGGTAGGTAAAACGGGAGTCGTAAAAATTACTCCAGAAGTAGCCGTAAGTGGAGTTAAAAAGCCGCGGGGAGGATGTTTATGCGTCCTCCTGCACCATCAATTAATTATCAATGGGCACGAACAGTATCGATTTCTAATGGAGTAGCGTGCCGCAGTGCGACCAAGGTCTCGCCGAGCACAATCTTCGACCTTTGCCGAGGCCAGGTAAGAGACAAAAAGCGACCTTCCCGAAGGATGTTTGGCCCTTCCCACGTGTTCGGGTTTTGGCAAATATTAACTGTTCTACACAGCTGCCTTCATCCGAACGGAAATTAGGAGCGCGTGGGATTCGCGATGCAATACAGAAAGTAATATTCGTGAGAACTCCACTGTTGTTAACAATTAGGCGAAATTAAGCGTCTGTAAAGGCTCCTCTCTGATGTTAACCCGTCATTAAGAATGAGAGCTGGATGCGGGATAATGCCGTCGGGACATGCAAATAAGTTTTTCTGGATTGTTAAGCTTTCCCAGAAGGCAGATACCGTTCGGCAGATGTGAGGCAAGTTTCGTGACACGGTCAAGTACAGAGTTTATTTCGATTGGTGTTCAGTTCTCGGTTAAAGGTGTTTTTGACCCGGTTCGCGGCATCTGTGTTGCGGCCGCGCAATGTGTGTGTGAGCGAGCGTACAGCGTTGTTTTCATTTCATTATGGCCGCTTCTCTCGCTTTTACATTTTCGTAATCGCCGATACAAACTCCACTGATAGGGTTGCCGAGGCTTTTATTGGTATACATTTGTAATAACGTACGATCGTTTGCATTCGCGAAGCAGTTGATTTCACACGTTCAATTTACTGGTTGTGGGTTTTTGTGGTGCTTTTTTTTGTTTGGAATCGTGGGTTGATCGGTTAATGTTTTGTTTTTCCAGAAAATTATGATTTCGCGGTGATCCTGTCGCGTGGTGGTACTAGGAGCTCATGGCTCGCGGGCGGGCAGCCCTGGCGTGCGAGCGAGAGGGCGCGCTAGCGGGGCCGGCTCCTCCGTCTCTGTCGGGCGCGTTTTTTGCGGCGCCGGAGTGTGGGAACGCGCCGGCAGGTGGGGCTGCCGAGATTGCGACGCGACATCCGCCCAGCCACAATGCATCTCAAGACGCACCGCTTTGTTTTACAATACGCGACGCGATGTGTTTAACATACGTCAGAACCTTGTAATGACGTTTGAAACGAATAGATAGTTTTTAGGTCGGGCTGGAAGCGGGGTTTGTTGCAATGACGAAAAACTCGTTACATCGATCGCGGTGGCTAATGATGCGGCGACTGCGGCTTTTGTTTACAAATGAAATGCGTTTTGGAGGCGCGACCACACGCGGTCGCACGCCGGTGCTCGGTTGACTGATGAGCTCACATTATGCCCGTGTCACTCTGGACCTGTCGCGTCACTCAGACACTTCCAAACATCTTAATAATACATTTCTCGCTTTGGGAGCGGCGTTATCTCCTCAAGTGGCTAATTTCATTTGAGACGGCCGTAAACTTAATTTAGTTGCGATTATACAAAAATTAATAATCCGCTAACGACTCGAGGAGGCCTCGTAAAAACCAAGTGTTCGTGTTACTGTGGAAACTAAATATAAAGCGATTGTTTCGGAAAATAATGCGTAATTATGAAGGTACAACGTTCTAACATTCGTGATACGAAAAAAAGAAATTTATTACGAGTCATTTGCTTGGAGGTCGGCCGATGCCCACAGGAAGCTGATAAACTTTTTAAATTTTATGAATAGTCCAACACTCGGTTATGGAATATAAAAATGGTTGGGCTAATTAAAACAACGATTTATAGTGGCGATGCTAGCAGATAATTTGAGTCATTATTATCCAGGCATATGCTTACGAACGCCGTTTTTGTCCGCAAATGGATAGAGCTGAAGTTAAACAACTAGATGTTCCCCCGAATGAAAATAGACACGTCAAAGTAAATTGTGCCGGTCGCATGTCCATATTTACACGCGAAGGTTTCTATTGTCACACGAGTTCGATATTTCTCAACATGTTAACATACCGCTGTTTCCCTAACTAATGTTAAACGTAACTAAATTGGACAGCCTTACAAAATGTTTCAGAATACTAAAGGTAAATTCAAATAAACCGTTCGTATACCGCCAATTATATAATTTCGTTCTCATGTATAAGGACGGCCGTTTCAATTATTTTTATGAGAGGATGCTACGCTAAAAATTGTCATGCCCGTTTTAATGAGGAAGAGAGAATTGGGGGCCACATTTAAAATTATTTGGGAATTTGGAACGGCTTCCAACATAAATGTGAGTCGAATAGCGAAATGTATAAAACTGATTAGCTTATGTCAATTCGAAGATAGTATTCAGCTCGGAGGCAACTTTCACAAGCAAAGGTCAGTGTTCTTTAGCTGTAAAATTGATGGGTACATGACAATATTAATGGTAAATGTTAGGTATAGCATTCCGTCCTTGATCTTTCGAGGCTTAAATATGACGTTGTAAAACCAGAGTTGCATCCGGTGACTGCGGCGACATTATTTAAGTTAACCTACTTCTTGGCATTTACAATGTACGCAAATGTTCAAGAAAGAAATCAATTATCTGGCTCATTCACGTGATTAAACAAATTTAGTGTCATAATAAGGCAAAGGAATGGAATTAAAAGGACGTGGGACTTTAAATAGAATAAGCTTTTACTGCTAAACCTGTCCAAAGTCTCCTTTTAGCATTCATCATCATCAGGTCATGTTTTGGTCTCCACTACAAAAGCACGACCTACTTTAAATACCAAAAGGACGCTTGGCAAATGAACTATGGATCCAGGAGCAAATAGACCATGGATCCAGGGGCAAAAGGACCATGGATCTAAGGGCAAATGGATCCAGGGTCAATGGACCATGGATCCAGGGGCAAGTTTTTTTTGTTATGTGACAGGAGTGAACAATTTATCCAGGGGCAAAAGGACGATTTCGCATCAAAATAGAGCAAACTTACGTTTCGAGCAATAATCCCCGGTCCAGCCCGTTCTGCAGACGATCTCCCCCGAGGAAGAACAGGTGTAGTGTCCGAAGGCATCATCCCTCGGCCTGCAGAGGACTTCGCAGCCCGCTCCGTAGTAGTGCGCGGCGCAGGTGACCCGGTAGGACAGCCTGAGGTGGGCCCCACCAGCGCCGCCCCATCGTTGCTCCTCCTCCACCCATGGACCCCCCACGTCAGCTATGCTCTGCTTCGTCATCCGCGCGATTAGGGTATCTGGAAAAGAATGCGGTCTGGTTAGGACTTGATGTAGTCTGGTAGAGTCAAGGTCAAGATATGATCAATAGCTTTTGACAACATTACAAATATTTATGTAGTTCTTATTACACTTGTAGGTGGATTGTTTTAACACGTGAGGTTCTCATGAGTCAATTTACATAAATAGTAATTCAAAGACAGTACAGATGATCTTCTAAGTTTATGTAAGCTAAAAGCTTGTTGAGCAAATATTGCGAACAGTCCAACCATAAATCTCGAACTGGTGAACGCGGTCGGAATTTAAAAAGGATAATGGCGCAATTAATCTGATTATAATCTGAAGAAAATCAAATATTTGTTTATCACCGTGGGAAAGGGTTACAGAAGTAAATTGACCTGTTAACCGTCCGTTTGACGCCCGCATTGGACCGTGAGATCTCATTGTTCGGAGTGATTCACTGTTTTGATTCCGAGGCGCCCGTTGTGATTGATTAATAGTTTTAAACTACATTCTTCTACCAACTTAACCAGTAACGAAGCAGTGACATAACTAAGCAAAATAAAAACCCGGCCCTGAAAACTACCCGTGATTAAAAAACTGCCCGTCCATTCATCAAAGCGATGTAAGTGGCGAGTCGAAGGCATGCTGAGAAATCTCAGAGCCGGCGAGTTCCTACCTTTATTTATTTCTCGTCGTGTATGCCCGCTTTTTACTCTTGTTGCCTCGGTGGTACATTCCTAAGCCGGTAATCCCGACAGCAGATAAAATTAAACCAGACGCGAAACAAAATTAAAAGGTATATAAAAACGATCGATCCCGACTAATTTTGTGGCGTATGGTATTCGATACGTGTCCTTTGTTTTATTTTGTGGGGTTGCGATATGGGGCTGGTAATGAGGCGGCACTCGGCACTCGATTCCGTTTTGTTTACGAGTCCGATGATCGGCAACGTATCGATATTCATTTGTTCCGATCGAGTTGTCGACGCACGAGACTGAAATATCTGTAGAATTGAACACGACTCGTCGATGAAGGATAGGCTTACAAAGATATTATCGCTCTAATAAATTTCAAAAGATACGCGCGGGTTCATACGCACGTCTATACCGAACCAGATTCAGATGTATGTAACGAGAGTTTAAGACCCTTTTAGTAGTTTAGTGCTAAACATTAAATTATAGCGATAAAGTTGAAATAATAAGGCACGCTATTGAAGCTAAATGCAACAAAAACTGGCTAAGTGGACCTTTCGAACACGCATAAGCGTAGGGCTCTTTAGGTTATTTTCTTTTTATATTAACTAAAAAGAACTACCAAAAAGGAGGCGAAAAACAATTTTGATTTAGTCGAGACAAGCATTTGATACGAACGGAACTCGAAAACAATTTAAACGTGTCTTTATATGGATGCAAATAAAATTGACATACGGCGAGATAAACGATCGACAGATTAATCGTAAAAGACCAATTAAGATGGTTACACCGGAAAATACAGTTACTCTTGTATTTTAGTTTTTATACGGACATTTCATATGTGGAGCGCGAGATAAGCTGTAACTAATAAAGATAATTTCTTTTCTTTATTTACGTTACTTAGCTAACTTGTTTTTTCAGATGCCAGCTATAAACATTTCTTATTACTATTGCTAATTGGCAGAAATAGTAATTGAATTGGATAATAAAAAAAACATTTGAAAGTCAACATTAACAATGTACAGGAAAATATAAAATGGAAAATGAAAACTATGCTTGTTTTTATGGCTCATGATTCTACAAGAATATGATTTGCAATGTTTTATGTATGTGTGCTATGAAATTATTCAAGTACAAAGGAAGGTTATTAAAGTCAAGTGTGCAGGGTTCGACGGGAATTAGAAAAATGACGTGTGGGAACGGAGTGCGGGCCTCTTGCAATTTGCCGCGAATTTACAATAACGCCAACAGTCACCCAGTAATTTCAACCTTACGGTCAAGGCAGCAAGGGAAATATGCGAAGCGAACTTCTGTGCCGACCGTACCGGGGAATTATGGCCACCGACCACTGCCGATTCAGGTGCAGGGTTGTCAGTGCGCAGTTTAAACGAAAAACGCTTAAAACATTATTAATAGCTCTCGTTACACCTACCACTTAATATTGATGGGTATAATTTTCAAGTTTGCGAACTTTTTCGAGTGTTTAAACGTTGTTTATAGCCAGCCCTAAACTATAGCAGTGATTCGCAGGAAAACGCAGGCGTCTTAAGACGTTTCTCCATCAAGAGAAACTTTACCGCTCTGCCACCAAACAACCGCACAAATTACACTCATCATCCTAATTCCCAACCGTAACTATATTAAATGAAGGTGTACCCCACTATCGTCTATTAATGTAAACCCGATTCACAAATAAATAACACATTTAAAGAAGGACGAAGCCGTAACTGTGCGTACGTGCTGGCCGGCCGAAGATACCATGTTATTACCGAGCAGAGGTCACTACAAATAAACCGAGAATAAATCCGTACAAACGCCAATAAACAAAAACAAAAGAAAGCGAAATAACCGATAATTTGAGCCGCACTATCGGAGGCGGACGCGGCCGATTTGGGATGTTCGAAACGCGATTTTGGGAAACGCGGGATGCGATCACGCGATTCAGCTTCCGTCGCTATGATCGATGGAGCGATCGCCGGATGCCGGCTCATTCATTACACTCGCGGATTGACAACGTCTATCGCCCGAACTGGATCGACGCTCTAATTAGTGGTGGGCGTCGCAACGAAATCGAAATCGGTGACGCGACTTCGCGAGGTTCGACGACTCCGCAGCTGAGCCCGCATCATTATCGCCGTCTCGATTTCCACTTCTCGATTCGGACACCTGCCCGGCCGGTTGCCCGCCAGCGTTGTGGGAAACGGCCATCTCTTCAATGGACTGTGTACACAACGACGCACAACTTTTGTTTATAAAACTGTCCACTCCTAGCGGCGAGAACGTTTGAGAGGTGCGCCTGCGACTCGCACTAGATAAATAACTCGAGTGTTTAGGCTTAGAGGTTAGCGTTTCGAGAGGTTCAATTCGGAATAACAAAAGACGGCGGATTTCGCGTAACCCGACACGGAGGACGCGGCTTTAAATTCACCATTGTTCAGTGAGAACACGGACATTTTCGTTCCGGGCAGAGAATCCGATGAATGCGGAGGATTGTGCAATGCACTCGTTACATTTCCAGACGGCTGACGTGGTGCGTTTAACCTTTGAGAAAGCCAATTAACAGCGTTGTAATCATAAAGAGAGCTCTGGGAACGGGAGGACGGCTAGAGCGCGTAATGAATTGACTAATAATGCACGGCCGGATAGCGAGATAAGCAGCCGTCACAACATAACTGTATCGATAATCGCATCTCGGTCGTGTAATGTCAGGCGGCGAGCGGTAGCGGGGCCCGCGGCGGAGCACCGGCCCACACGTAATTGCCTCGCCGAATCTCTGCCGATACACTTCACACGCTCTGCACCACCGTCGCCCACGGAACAGCGCTGCGGGACACTGGAAGTGTGCCCACCTATTATCCGAGCCATGTGCTCAGCATCTGTCGACGCCGCTTCCTGGCCAGCGCCTGCTACATCATAAATTGAGCCTTCCGGGACGTCTTCCGCGCTTTTTTATCCAGTTCAAGCCCTACGACGACGAAAGATGAAGTGTAAACTTAGAGCTACTTCCCTCAGAGGTACGTTTTTTAGCGTCGAGTAAACAACGGGCCGCAAGACGGGCCAGGTGCGGCCTTGCCTCGGGCAGACAAAAGATTTCGGTGAAGGAACGAGCGACAACATCAGAATCGCCGGCGACCATTGTTGTTTGTTTAGCAAGAGAATGCCTTTATGCGACTCCGTGTGCTAGCGCTATTCTCAACACAATCGCGTGTTTATCTTTATGATAAATGGGACAATTTAGTGACTCCCATATTTTAAGATTTCGATTTGGCGTATGAAATCGAAAGATTCAGGGGTCGTAATCGATTGCGTTGAACCGGTAAAGGGGACTTGCAGCTGTTGAGTTCGGTATTAGATAAAAAACCGAATGTGATTTAATTAAGCATTAGCCCAGTGAGTCGATAGTGAGTGAACACAAACGGCGCGGTGTAACCTGTTATTAAGGTTGATTAGATTTCTGTTGGTAACATTTCTCGGTAGTGAGGCGGCGCCGCCCATCGCTCCCGCGCCGTATTAAAAATATACCCGTCCTCTAAGCTATCCACTTCAGACGCTAATGATTTTCGGTAAACCGGCCGTAGACACACCTCGCCGTATCTCTAAATCTGTTTTAAGTAAATCACCGGGGTTTTTGTTATTCGGTCAGGAGTAGTAATTATGTCGGTCAGAGTGCAGCGGGATGAGAATCTAATTAAGAAATGGGCGTCGCCGGTCAGCATTCGCGTCCGCCATTTTGATAGTTTTGAAAATCGAAGACCTTCCCGTTGCGGTTGCAGGCGTTTTTTTAGCGTAAGGAGTTTTGTTGGTATATTGCACGGGGCGAATTATCATGATGATGTATTTACGAGCGGGTCGGGTACAATTCATTCGGAATCGTTTTTTCGGTCACGCCATGTCGCATGCACGCGGCAAACTGTCGATTCTTTATTGGGCGTTTAGACCGCGCGATATCAAAATGAGTCGAACTCGAATCGATTGTCTAATGATAATAATCTAAAATTATTCGTGCACATGGCATCGGTAATTTCGTGGATACGTTCGCGTGTGAGAAACGGTGGCGGTTCGCCTACTTTTGGACGGTTGCGTTCTCTGTCGTCTAGGTACCGGTCAATGGCCATCGGAATACATTAGAACATTTCTACTAAATTTTCGTCCTACAGAAGGCTGAGTTTATTAGAATAGTGTGCGCATTGCGACGCGACTCACGCGCAGCGCCCGTGCTCGGAACGCCAATCGTCCACGCCATGGGAACATTTTTGTCTTCCACGATATGATAATATGAGCATTCAAATATACATACTGTCCGTTAAATGCACGATAAACACCCCGAATTACAGTGAAACCTGAATGCGAGTGAGTCGTGAGCGACGTGATTTGAATTTTACAAGACGAGGATTTTCACGATCCTCTTTATCATAATCGTATTAGGATGAGGACTCACCATCAGATCTGGACGTTTCGTTCGTGTCGTGCCACGCTTCGACTATAAGCGAGAAGGTGCCCTGAAATAGAAAAGAAAAACACATTAAACTCGTTTCACGGACAGGAAATAAATGCGAATCTTATCGTGAACAAACACAACAAAGATAGTAGCCAACCCAATAATAAAAGCGCGGCGCTCTTGTGTCGATGTCGCATCGATATCACCATCATAATCGGATCGTTGCGATTCCGCTCGTGTTTTGTTTTTACTCATCCATGCCAGCCGGAGATACCATCGGTTCGGCATAACCTCACTTCAAATCCATCAAATTCAATTTTCGGACGGTACAGGCAATTACGGGCAGAATACAATATTAATTTCAGTTGAAATTTTAAGTTAATCAAGTTACATAAAAATGAGACCTTTTACAGAGGCAGTTGGGCATTTCAAATATTTCCTTTAGTTTACAACATTGTTGTAGCAGCCCGGCATGCCGGACGAGCGTAAATTAACATGATAGACAGGTGAACCAGGCAGCAGATGGCATGAATTGTTTCAATATCAGTCTAAAAATACCCGCGAGGCGACCGAGACGCGCGCACTTAAAGCACCCAATATGGGATCATGTAATAGTTTCGTGCCTTATAAAAAACAGGAACGAGCACATATCAGATAGTAAGATATTGACATTTGTGGATGTTTACATAAGGAGGCGAAACGGCAGTCGAAAATCGATTATGGGGTGATAAGGCGGGAGTAAACACTTTACAGGCGCCTGCGACGCTTATCGCGGCTTTTATGGCCTGTGAGGAGCGTTCATGCGAAAATGGACACTTTAGTTCAATGGGATTAAACGTTCTATGCCCGAAGATATTGCTACACAAAGGGCAATGACGTGTGGAAGAAGCGATATCAATGCTGAACAAATGATACACAGATTCACAAGAAAAACAACCCTTTTAGTAAAGACAAAGGAATATTCCCCTTATCGAAACACTATTCGTTTATGAAATTTCTCCCACCGTAAGAACCGGTCTGCTTGCCCATAAAACACTACGTTCAGGCTCCGAACAACGAGCTCCTCACGACCTTAAGATCTGTAATCGATCTTTAATTGCGTACTCCGTAATCGTTAAATAAAACAAGAAACAATCGAAGATCGCCACTAGATTAACAACGAAAATAATAAGGATACAATTGCCATGCAGAATAAGGCGCGTAGGAAACGAAGTCGCTAATGCTTTATGGAATAAGGCACCCAAGAAGGATGGAGAGTGCATTGTAATTACAAAGAGCACGTCACGGGTCGCCATGGCAGCTGCAACGGATATTAAGGGTCACCATATTAATCTGATCAGCACCTACTCTCTTAAGGAGTGATTCAGTTTTCCCCGACAGATGTCGCCCGTTGTCAATTAAGAGCTTGATGAATGAAAACATCATTTGCATGGGCGAACAATAAAAGCATTTGCATGAACCAATACTGCTTCTCTAATGAACAATGATGATTGTCATGCGAGAACTCCAATACGAGAAATCAGTTTCTCCGATGCAAAAAACTAGCTTTTTCTCTCGTTTCTTGACATAGATCCATTAAGTTTAGACGGTGGTGAGTTTTGACGAATTTATAATAAGGTTTCGTTAAATACGACGACAATACAAGCGGACGTGTTATCGGCCGAAGCTGAATACTAAGCAGGCCGCCGCCGCCCGACCAACTTGAGCCTTATGCTCCTGTATCAATTTATCCGACTTTGTAATGAAACATCGACTTATCATAAACCTTACTCGGTGTAAATAAGGAGCGAAGGACGGTTGTCAAAATATTTTATTATGATTTGTGTCGTGTACTGGCGATCAAATATGGCCAGTCGTAGTGTACGTATTGATTTGTTAATCGAGTATGGAGAGCGCATTTCGGTCAGCTGTGGTGACTGGTGGCCGGTTGTAAGTATATGCCGGTTCCCACGACAGTGACTCTCGAGCTGCCCATAAAAAGCGACCGACGTAAGCGTACGTGTACAGGTAGCCTTTATAGACGTGTCGAGCTCGCAATACCGTATACTTACATCAACTTGCAGACACAACTCGCTAGATCTGGCAGTAATTAAGCTAACTCGTATGCTGTATGTGGCAGTATGTCTTGTGTGTAACTTTGATTAAAAAATCTGAACATCGATCACAATCGACGCAGTGTTCCAATTTCGAACCGAGCACTGGCCATCAAAAAATGTAATTACCGTTCCGAATTCAAATGTTTTTTCTTATTCTAAACGTAGAGTTATTTATGACGTAAAATACAATATCGAGACGAGATCGAGGCGTATCGCGACGCATTAATTCTTTCCCTCGAATGCGATGCGTTAAATTGTATTAAAGACTTAAACGAAGCAATAGAATGATATCGTGCGGTCTGAATGCTGGGGAATTATTTGATAATCGTTTTATGAGGGTGCCTAAAGAGGCTACTTCCATATCGGAGCCTGTTCTGACGTTATTTTGTTATTAATTAGACATATCGGTAAGGATACGTGGGAACGGACCCGTATTTCGTGAGCCTGGACGCCATGTGTTTGGGATTTACACCGCTTAGGACAAAAGAGGTAATCAGGTACTGGATACTTTTGTTTGTTGTTTCGCGCACGTGTTTCGGACATCATTGTTTGACTTTTTGTTTGCTTATTTAGAAATCGCAGCAGATGTCGGGATTGACGTTATTGTTATCGTTAGTTTGACTGTGGACATTTTTATGACACACAAACCAAACAGTTTTCGTCGCGTACTTACCGAAGGAAATGGAACAAGGTCAGTCCACCATGGTATATTCGGTCAATACTGGTACAACATTGAAAGTATTATGAGAGCATCACAAAAAAGGGTATTTTACCGCGCTTTCGTGTTTCGACACGAGAAATATTTAGAACACAAACACCTGAGTTGAGGAGTCGTGATTTCATATTTCACACTTTGCCAGTTGCTTTAATATGCTTTCGCTCCACTGTAGATAGCGTCGCGACACTCACGAAATCTTTTACATTCAAATATCTCAAGTAAAATATAGTATTTAAAGTATACAAATGAAAATATGCCTTCTTGTGACTAATTAAGATTGTATATCAATCGATCGTTGCCTGTTTCCAAAGTTCGTCAAATGAAAAAGATATGCAAATCTCAAGTCGGCCAGATAAATCCGTACGTGTATCGTTATTAAAGTGTTCCGAGCGCATTTAATTCCGATTATTAATGCTTTTAATTAAGTTTATCTCCTTCTATTTTGGCATTTCGATCGCAAGTGCGTTGACCTGTGCCGTGAATCATGTCTGGAAACCAGAATAGCTTCAATAAAAACACTGAGCAAATATTTGGTGAAAAAAAAGTCGGAAGCGTCAACTAGTTTTGACAAATTGTATTTAATAATGCGAAATTGGTCGGTTTTGATACTCGGGCTAAATGCCGTGTGAAACTGAACGGAGACTTCCTGCAATGTATAAAAATATTCAGGTCGGCGTTTTATTGGCGACTGTATAACATGCATTCTGTTGAATGCTAAGCAGCTTCGAGCTCGCAAGGATGTCTCCTAAGTCTGCTCTAACTACGCTTTGTAAAGCTTTTTGTTTTACATTAATTTGCATAGAACAAAATAACTAACTTGTAAATTGTTAAATTGCTGGCATTGAAATAGTGACGACTGAGTACAGTCGATTTTATATTACGATTTTCCTGGAAGCTGCATTTTCCAGGTCACTGTTTAACCAGGTCACGGTCTATTCACGTAATCATGAATAGACTTCATTTAATTTTGTTTTTTTTTTTTTTTTATTTTTGCCGATATTTTGGGCTTAAACTGACAACCCTGGCATATCATGTCGTCAACTAGCTAGGCACCGTGGTACCTCTAGGTTTGGTATTAACCGGCAAATTGTGAGGACAGGACTAGTCCTGCGCCCGCGCGTCCGAGGACACCTCCCATCCCTGGCCGGTTATCACGGATCGTATGAGTCGAGTGCGACCTCCACCTGTGCACCGTCATTTGTTCGCGAGTCCGTTACTCCTTTGTTTACTATCTCATACCTCACTACATATGCAACTTTTTTCGGCGTTAAATCATCGCTGTCATAATAAAGTCATAACGTAACAACACTTTTGGAAATCGTCCAACTAAAACGCCTTACTTTCTTATGATTTATTGCGGCGAAATTACGAGTTTTTTTTCGCCAAACAGACAACTATATTACAACTCTTATCTCGATGCCAGACTATCGAAACATCAAATGCTACAAATAATCCATATAATCCGTGTTAAACCGTTAATTGCTTGATTACTTAATTTAATAAACGCATTGAGGCATTAATGCTCAGCCAATTATCTCTGTCAAATATTTTCACACGCCAATCATAAAAACAAGCATTAAATTGAGGCGATAATAAAGTTCCATCGTTGCCACATACGAAGGTAAACACTCAGGCGCAGGCCCAAAATTGACCGTATGCTCAAAGTTTAGAGCTCCATTACCACAGGATTTTAATTATCACACCCGCTATACCGGGAAACATTAAAACTCAAAAAGTAGCTCGTAACTTAAAACGAAACGTTATACTTTTATATCTGTGACGATTTTATGAAACGCTAGCAAACATTAAGACAGACGTAACCACATTTTTACCGTAACGACCGGTCCGGTACACGACACGAAATAAGTCGGGCATTAACAATTTATTGCCCTCAATTACAATCATCGCGAAAAAAGTTACTTCAACGGCGGAATTCGGGACTTTTAAATCGGACGCGAAGTGAAAAACGAAGATGCTGGCTTTAATTTCACGTGGCATGGCATCCGCGGGACCCCGGCCGGCCAAGAATTCCAAATATGAAAATGTCGACCATAAACAACCGAACGATTTGAATGAAGTATACAAGAATTAAAAAATAAAACTTAACAAATTTCGTGGGACGTCCGCGCCGGCCGACTCTATAGATCTGATAAGCATGAGAAGGGTTAAGCGTTGAAACCGAAACCGCACTAAAAAATAAACAATCTTATGATCAGTTCATCCGGATTTTATCCGAGAATGACGCGT